ACACCCGAAACTCTACGCCAGCCCTACACCCTAAACCCCAGTTTCAGCGGCTTTACAACAGGAGTGCCACTCTTTGGGGTTTTCTGTTTGAGTTTGAGCAACACGGCTCTAAAGCTCCCAAACCCCAAAACTCTTCTCTTTGAACCCAAAGGGTCCTATGTACCGATATAGTAGAATGTAGGGTTTCCATATTAGGAATTACTATAATGACTTAGGGAAGTATCCCCCATAACTGTACATAGGACCCTTTGGGAAAGTCTTACAAGGACAAACCATGTCAGGGCGTTGGGTTTGGGGTTTCAGAAGTAGTTTACAAACGTGTTATGAGGGGTCGGGAGAGAGCGAGCGATAAAGAGAGAGAGAGAGAGAGAGAGATACTATAAGAGAGAGAGAGAGAGAGAGAGAGACGGAGTGAACCTTTGTTAAACGCTCTCTCGGCCTGTTACACTGCATGCAGAAATATTCCACAGAATCTCGAAACACTTAAACTTATGTAAGACTTGAGCCGAACCCGGAATCCTATCAACCTAAAGCCTTGCGAAGGTGTGATACGAGGCCGGACCCCTCAAGAACCATGTCAAGCAACGACATGGTGGGGAACGGGGTCAGTGGCTAAATCCTAAACGGCACAAAAAACAGGGCCAACGACAAGCACTTGAACAACAACCTGCGTCTCTCCAAGTTAGCCCCCAAACTAGGGACATCCCGCAACGACGCCGTCAACCTTAAGCGAACACTCAACTCTAAACCGTCGAAACTCTCACTCTACCCTAAACCCTAACCCCAAACCCTGAATTTGAAGCACAACGAGGCCTCCTATGAAGCGCAGCTCAGGTTCACGTTGGCAAGAAAGGCAGGTAGTGTGCTCCCCTGGGCCTTGGACTGCTAAGGGTTCTACAAGATGGGTTTAGACCAGGACCCTCCTTCTACCCTCAAATAGGGGTATACGGTCCCAAATAATGGGTACTTAGGGCCTAATAGATGCTAGATGGAGGGTCTAGGGAGTTATATAGAATTTATCTAAAAAGCTTCTGCACGTGTTCTACAAGAGATCTGATACATCAGGCTTAATCATACAACTTTGAATATCATCCCTAGTTATGCCACCAAACACAAACCAAGCCCCGAAAGTTTCATCCTGGGACACTTTTCAAGGCTTGATCCTCGTGTTTACCGGCAGAACTGACATGCCAAACAGCAGGGATGAAAGGTGTGATACAGGATTGAGGCTGCATGGTGGCTTCGGGTTTAGTTGCTGAGGCGGCTAAGGGAGCCTAAGGGTCTAGGGTGAGGGCCAAGGGGCTTCGGTTTGCGCTGAAGTATGGCAGTTCTCGCATGTTGCGGACAGCAGGACATAGGAGGCAACGAGTTCATGAGCAACGTAGCACGATGGCGCTCTGAACCATTCCAACTGATGCTTCAACGGCTATAGCTGGACACAAACCTAAACCCTAAACCCTAAACGGCCCTAAACCCTATACCCTAAACCACCATTCCGACTGCTTGTCGCCGATGCCTGCTCGTGTGCTGCGAGTGTCAGTCCGACTCTCTCTGTCTCTCTCTGTGTCGTGCGTGTGTCTGCGCCGTATGATGTATGCCATATGTTGATTTCCCAAAGGGTCCAAAGTACTGTTATGGGGGATACTTCCCCAAATCATAATAGTAATTCCTAATATAGGAACCCTACATTCTACCATAAAGGTACTTTGGACCCTTTGGGTTTGTATATGTGTATGTATAGGGTTGTGTGCAGGGCGCGACACGGCCCTGTATGTCTTCTTACGGACATTTACTTTGACACTCTAGAAATCAAGCAAGCATCAAACCTCAATCTGCTGTCTTGCCAAAGCAAATTGAATGTACATGCTTTGCTTTGTTTTTCGTATGTATACAAAATACTGTTATACAGAAGTGTGTGTATATGTATATGTATATATGTATATATATATACACACATTATACACACGTATACACATGTCTATATGTATATGTGCGTCCTTTTTTCAAGTCTTCGAGCGAGGGTACAGGTACGTAGACCGCACGAGAGCAATTGAAATTCTATAGCCCCAACCACCGAGAAGCCTTGAGAAATCGCGCGTTCCCCGTCCGCAAGGCGAAGCCCACAAAATGGCGTCCAAACGCCTGCGTCAGGAGGTATGCAACCCTGAACCGGACCTTTTACACTAAACCTTATAGAAATTGCAACACTTATACACAATCAGGGTAGGCCGACCCAAGAGACTATAACCCGAAATCGTCCTGAGGTTCCCAAAGCCCGTTTTGAATGAATTTACCATGTTTAAATCAGATGGGAGATGCCTGCAAGATAAAGGGGCTCGATAATTTTGATAGAGTTGGGGTATTATGTTAGTGACTATTTAAAGCTTCTCCTTCGCCATGGGAATTCCCTACCCTAATGCCTCAAGGGTCCATGTACTCGGATAGTATATACTTTGGCCCCAAAGTGCCTATACAGGAACTATTTTAAGGCCAAAACATATACTACGACGATGAAGGATCACCCTAAACCCTAAACCCTAAGGTGTTGTTTAAGAGACCCTGAATCTCCAGCACGTGTTTTTTTTGATGAAGGGGTCTGGCATAAGTCAGAAGCAGGAACTCTAATCCATATCTATATCTACATCTGTATCTGTATCTACATCGCTCTCTCTCTCTCTCTCTCTCTCTATATATATATATATATATATATATGTACCTATACCTGTATGTAATTCTATATCTATGTCTATGTTTATATCCATATATCATGTATCAACCTCTATATCCACCTCTTGTATCTATAACTGTGTGCTTACTTGTTTGTATTTATACATCATACGCCCCCCCCCCCCCCCAATGTTGTGGTTCGAAAAGTTCCTCCGGCCTCGAGGGCATCTTCAGCCGAGAGCTCCGTCTCTGCGCAGGTGGCAGCCACGAGCCGGTAACTGACCTGACGCTACTTGGTTGGAGGTTCATGGGCAATTATACGTGGAGTTATAAGTCCCCCAATATGGGCTGTAGCTATAGTTACCGTACTTATACCTCCACTTAGAACTACCCATGAACCTCCAAGTAAGTTTTGGCTTCTGTGGGTTTAGGGGGGTCAAGGTTTAGGGTTCGGAAGTTAGGGTTGAGGGGGTAGCGGGGGTTCAAGGTTTATAGAGTCTTCGGATGTTTTGGGGCTTGCTACTGTATGGGATTAGTTCTGAGGTTCAATCAACAAGTTGCCAAAAACGGGCTTGCACAAAGCCTGCGTCTAACTCGCAGGATGCTTCGGTACAGCCCTTACTATGTATAGGTGTAGGTGTTTCCTTACCTTGACTACGAAGCCAGCTGCTTGTAATGTTAGTTTGGTTTCTGACCATTGCTGCTACTACAACATTCTCATCGCTACTGGAATAGTTGTTGTGATTTCTTTGTCCACGGCTCCCGGACATAACATTCGCGGCGCTTATCTGGCAGCCTAAACCCCCTAAACCCCCTAAACCCCCTAAACCCCTAAACCCGGTTTCGGGTTTAGTGCAAAGTTCCTGGGCCGATATCTAACAGCGTGGAGCCGAAGATGCAAGCCCTCAAGCCCTCTAACATGAACGTTTAGGGTTTAGGGTTAAACAGGAAGGGCTTAGGGTCAAAAATGAAAGACCCTAAATTTCGGAACTTGAAGCCAACAGTTGATGTAATTTAATGCTCAACTTTCTGAAGAAACTCTGGAAGCCTACCCCCGAGTACACCACGCCCCCTCCCGTCACACACAAAACAATCCGAGACGTAGCCTCTAAGTGTAGGCTACTGTCGTCAACCATGGTTTCTGACAGCAGAAACGGCCCCGAATCAAACCTGATCATCCCTAAAACCCTGAACCCCCAAACCCTAAACCCCTATAAACCCTAAACCCCAAACCGATCATCCTTAGTGTCCAGGTCATTCTCAACTGCTTTCTGCCACCTCATCAGGATGCTGGACCGTGTTCCTGAGTGGGTGCTCGGGGTTCAGGGCTCATTTAGGGCTTAGGGGTTTTGGGTTTAGGGTTTGGGGTTTAGGGGTTTGGGGTTTATACGGGTATGGGGTTTAAGTTTGGGATAGTAGGATAGCACAATCAGGACAGAATAGGATCGGATGGGATAGGATAGCACGGGACAGGGTTTAAAGAACTCAGGCCCACTTCGGGTGAATCCGGGTTAAGGTTTGCTGTTTACGGCATGGGACTCATACATTATCTGGATGTTAGCCTCGAGGGCTTGCACTTTTGCAAAGTGTTCATGATAATCATGGCATGCAGCTCATACAAAGGCATCGAGGGGCCATGCAGGGCATTCGGTAATATAAGTAGGATTAGGGTCGCCTCCACCCAACAGCTTGAACACCGAGCTTGAGAAACGCAAGCCTTGCTGAAATTGCTAGACTACAGGGGGCTTTGATATAGAAACTACCAAGTAAACGCACCAACACCTTGAGATGTCAATTGAACACTGCGCCTTGCTTCGGGGTGATCTTGCATGCCTAAAGGTTAGGCCTTCGGGCTTGGGGTTCGGTTTTAAGGCCCATCCAAACTCGAACTCACGACCCTGAACATATAACCCTCAGATCATAATCGTCAAGATACCTGTCAATCTCAGACAACTATAAGCGCCAAACCCACGGCACTAACACCTATTCTGATGCTGGCTACACCCACACCCCAAACTCTGAACCCTGGACCCTATGTGTACAAAACCTATTTTGAGAACAGGGGAACCGTTGCCAAATCAAAGCCAACTTAACCTGGTTGGCCCTAAAGGGTCCAAGCATTGGCGTAGGGTTGAAGGCTTCAGCCCCTAATGCTGCTGGCAGTAGAACCGCTAAGCCAGCAATCCTCAACCCTACCCAGCTGCCAGTAGCTTGGTAAACCCCAAAACCCTAAACTCCAACCTGATGAAGCTGCTAGGATACCCAGTAACCTAAGAAGAAAAAGGCCTCTCTTTTTGGTATTGGGTAACTTTATAAGGAACCTAGGACTACAAAAAGGGAATAAGGGTACTACTGGGCATCCTAGACGACATGATATAGAACCCTACTATAGATCCCTTATAGACCCCTCCAAAGGACCCCTTAAAGGGTTGATATACCCTATTGTTACCATTTACTCCAACACCACCCAACCTAAAACCGACGAGGCCCCAGGATCCGGGCGAGGCTGAAAGGCTAAAACCATCCTTCATACGTCATATAACGGTTTAGGGGTTTGGGGGTTTAGGGTTTAGGGGTTTAGGGGTTTAGGGTTTAGGGTATAGGGTATAAGCCAGCGACTCAAAGTGAAACCTTGCATCCCACCCTCAAAAAACGGATACGGGTCTAGGCCTGTAAAGCACCCTACATATGCCAAGGGATCAGCACCTAAAAGACTCGAGCAAAACCCGAGGAAACCTGAAACATATCCGAAGCCTAGGGTCAAGGTTAGGGGCTTGGGGTTAGGGGTTTACGGGGTTTAGGGGGTTTGGAGTTTAAGGGTTTAGGCCCTCAACACCCAGAACAAAAGAACACCCAGAACTAGTTGTAAATCTCTTTGTCAAATGCCCCCGGGCAAGGATGAAAACCCCACCGGAAGCCTCCCCAAAAACCTCCAACACATCCACTTCCATGTCCGAAACAATAACTTGGCTGACTTCTGAACCAATCCTAAAAGTTAAACTTTCAGCTTCCATATTAAAGACCATATAGGAACCCCAAAAGTTAAAGTCCTAAGAGCCAACCAGAAGAACACCGAGATAACACGTGCCCTAGTAACTGCCATCCCCCAATTTCACTTGTCATTTTGAAGCTGTGATGGCAGTCCATAATTCTGGAGAGCTTGGGATCTCCTGCATGCTACATGCACCCGCTTTGCGGAGACAGGGTCACGGCCTCGAAGCATGCTTTGCGGCAGCCATGGTCGGCAATCGCCTGTAGCATGGCGCAATTCAATGGCAATGCCTGCGCCGTCGGAAAACAATGCACGTGCAGGACTTGCTCGCTGATTTTCGCACTCTGGCCGGTAGTTGTCTCACTACCTGGAGCCAGAGCTTCGCATGCGGCAAAGAAGCCCATGTTCGTGGATTAACCCGAGCTCCACGATTAAACTGCGCCACGATGACGTCGGTGTGGTTTCCCGAGATCCTTATTCAAAGTAGGCCTGAATGTTCTTAACACTAGGCCTGAGCCGAACATGGAACAGCCCTGCACTCTTATAAAGTCCAACAGGCACATGCAGAGCCTTCCACACTACAACACAGTAAATAGCCGAAGATCCATTAAAACCCCTCCTGAAGCCCCAAATGCCGATTATAAAACCCCTAAACACCTGACCAACTTTGGATTCTCTAAAATCGCCCTACATCTCAGAAGCAAGCCGGAGTTAGAACCCTGAACCCCTGAACCCTAGGCCAACGATCAACGCAGTTGAAAATCTTTGCCAACATCCTGCAAATGAAAACAATCTTAATACCGTGAACCCCAAGTCAGGTCAAGATCAACACACACAACCTATGAACACCTTACAAACACGCTGTAAAGCCTGCATACCCCTATCCCCAAAGTAAGACCAACATTAAAAACAACTAACCCCCAACTCTACCCACGCCCAAGCTGAAAACCACGTCCCCTTCCCTGCTAGAAACCGTCTGACATCCCCCAAAGCACCCTGCAGACCTAATCCGGTTTAGGGTGTGGAGGTTTTCAGACCAGAACTACACTACCGAACCCTAGGAGGTTGCAAGGAACACTATTGCTACAGCAACTAATTGTTTGCTGCTATATTAAGCAAGCCGGGGATCAAAACCACATCCTCTTCGAGGCCGGCCCTAAGCAGGATCGCGCTCCAGACGCTCTGACCAAAGGCTTCCAGCACCTTGGGCTGGAGGTATGGAGCTTAGGGCCTTAGGGGATGTAGGGTTTGTATGAGTTTAGACTTAAAGGCTTAGGGTTGAGGGCTTTAGTGTTTAGTTTTAGGTTTGAAGGGTTTAATTAAGCGTTTAAGGGCCATGGGGTTTAAGTGTCTACGGGCTTAGGGGTTTAAGGGCTTAAGGGTTTAACTGTCTGTTTAAGGGTATAAGTATAAGTGTCTGGGAGTTTAGGGATCCGTCCAGAGGCCTTAGAGGGCTTTGAACAGGACGCTTTCACAGTATTGTTGAAAGAAGGGCTTTTTAAGCAGGAGTCTTAGGGTTTAGCAGTTTATAAGCTTGCACAGGGGTTGTAGAGTTTGCAGAGGTGCCTGGAGGATTGCGTATGTGTGGCAGATTGCCGGACCCGTTAAAGGGCTTTGTGTAAGCTGCATCCTTGACTACTGGGAGCATGCTCGGCCCGTTGGAGTTAGGATTGTTAAATGATGCTTCTAAATCTACCTGAAAGTGCATGGGTGGCGTGTAGAAAGAGGGTTGTCAGTGCCCTGACTTGACACCATCTGACCTCGCTGGCCCCATCACACTCCACTGAAACCCGCTCAGTTGAGGAATATCTTTACTTCAATACATTTAGGGCATGTGACTAAGCTGAGGGGCATCAGGCCCTCTAAGTCCTCTGAGGCCCTTGCGCCGACCTAGCCTTTTCGCCTGCTTAGAGTAGTGGCCAGCAGGCTGCAACTCCGGCGACGAATGCCCTAAACCCTGAACCCAACTTTAGGATCATTTTCGTCTTGGTGGCCCTATGCATACTCACTTCCCGGCCAAAGTGCCAAGTCTTTGAGGATGATGTGGATGTGGCCATACATGCCAACTCCTTCCAAGGGCATCTGGTGCACGAGGTCTCATGACAGATCGGTGTAGCAGTAGCTTGCGACGATGAGCATCATTCGTGCTAGGTTTTGCAGCAGTGAGTAGTGGTAGTGGTCGGTGGTCGTAGCACTGGTACCGGCTATACTGTGCACAGCAGCACAGAAGGCACCAACCAGCAGGGCAGCAGAAGCAGCCACAGGAACGGTAGCGAAGGCAGTAAGTCAAGATTCCTAGTCTGAACGCCAGCCTTTCCGAAAACAACCTATTCTGGCACACTTAAGTAGTGGCCTGAATGATTCGACTTGCGTCTCAGATAATCTTTAAAGGTTCAGGAGCTTATATAAGAAGATGCTTACAGGGTGTAGGGATATAAGTTATCTTGGGGCTTCGCGGGGTATGAGATTTATGCTAAGGTTTTCGACCACTCAGGCTCCACTCGCGTCTGGAGGGCCGGGCACAACTGCCTGTGGGTATCACTGTCCATCGGCCATTACTATGCGCGAAATTTCAACAAAAGTCATCGCGCCAACCGGGTCTTCCGGGCCAAAATGTCCGAAATCGTCACCTGGAATCCTCGACTAGGTTATGACGGTTATGACCAGATATTGCAAAAAAACATCGCCCCTCACCTCGAAACCCTGTGACTCAGAAATCCTGACCTTTGGGTCGAGGGCAGAGATACTCCGAACCCGGGTTTAGGGTTCCCTAAACCCCAAACCCCCAAACCCTAAACGGTCTAGCGGTCAACAGTTCAAGTAGCCCGACACTACGGACAAGCTTCTCCTCACATGTCTTCACAAAGACTCAAAGACTCAGACGCGAACCTCAATACTAAGTTCGAAACGAAGAACTGCAGGGACAACTCTGAATCCGAGTTGCGAAACTGCGCGGCGAAGGCGAACAGAGTAACGGCCCTAAGTGCCGTATGTTGCGCTTGGGAGCCCACAACAGCGAGGATCGTGTGGTCGTCGGGATGCAGGCGCAGATCAGTACATGATGTTATACTCTGTTTACCCTGCTAGATGGCATGTATACATATACATATCGCCTGGAGCCAGCAAGCAAATAACCAGATGTGAAACCCTGCATGTATTCAACAAAGCAGGCAATCACTCAAGACAGTTAATTACGCAACTTGTGCAAGCAGCATAAGTCAAGTTAAACAAAATCAAGGCAGCAAACATTCACGAAGCAAGCAAGCTCATACTACTCATATGTAGATGAGCATCAGATATTCCGTGTGCTGTATGTATGTCTGGATGTAAACAATTACGGCAACAAACAAACATACATGCATGCGTACATACATACATACATACATACATGCATACATACATACATACATGTCGTACATAAAGAACACTCATTCCCTGTTTACCTACGTACATAGGTATCCAAACTGCCTTCCTGCCTGCCTGCATGGATGTCTATATGCATGCCGAGCTACATAAACACATCGAGACACGAGTCCATCCATGCATCCATCCATCCATCCATCCATCCACCCAGCAACCCACCCATCCAGCCATCGCACCCTTACCAAAAGTACATCAAGTAGACGAAAACATTATGTTGCGCATTTTGGATTACAGTATGGCATGCCATTACAGTACATGACAAATGTCACTATTTCACAGTACTCCAGGTCATGATACATGTCTGTATACGTGGAGGTATTGGGGACAAAGGTGACAGACAGACAAGCTTTTGATGTGCTTGGCAACTGATTCTCTTCTGGATCCTTGAACAAGGTCCTTCGTCCAATCTGTGCTGTCAGGCAAACTAAACTCGCCAGAGTGCCAAGCAAGGGGTTGCGATGTGCATAACGTTGGGTAAAGAATCATGTTACTACATATTCATGCTTCTATATGTGGGTTTCCGAACTTGCGGGACCCTAATTAATTGAATACCCTAAATAGTAGGATCCTTATTATAAAGACCCCAAGATAATGTACCCCTAATTTTCGGAAACTCCTATATTCGGTCCTTTATCACTACCCCTCGGCTGGCAAGTCGGTCTAGGTATGCGTGGTTCGCAACACCATAGCGTGATGGGATTCCTGGCCGCACGAACCTCAAGTAAGAACACTTCCCTGAACGATAATGAAAGCAATACTAACAATAACAAAATGAGAAGAATAACAAAATGTGATAACGATAAAAGGTTTAGTAACAAGAACAAAACGACACAAGTAAAACAATGGTAATAATGTGAATATCATTAGGGTTAAACTAAAGCTTACTGTAAAGTTTAGGGTGTGTTCCTGCCCTGCAGGTTTTTGGCGCTGGGATTTGAGGCTGAATCGGGCTTGGGGATTACGAAGTTGAACGGGAGAGGTGTATACACCAATACCCCTCAAGTAAGGAATATACGTTAAACCATAATTAATATGAAGCCCCTATAGTTTAGGGTCTATTCCTTAATTCAGGGGTATGGGGATCTCTGGGTAAGCGGCTCAAGGTTTAAACTTTCGGGTTTGGGGATTCTAAGGCTTAAGCTTCGGGCGTTTAAGGAGCTAGGGACTGCGGAGCGACTGCCTGAATCCTTGTAGATGTGAACCTACGTAGCCCTGAGAGTCCGTGTGCCATAAAGGGTTCGTTTAAAGGGTTATATATATATATATATATGGTATAAGGGTCCATGTACCCAAACAGTATATACTTTGGCCTTAAAGTAGTCCCTATATAGGTACTTTGGGGCCTAAGTATGTATATTGGCAGGAAGGCCCACGAACCGAACCGCAAACCAGAACCGAAACGCCAGGAACCGTCCATTTCTGTGAACCGCAAAAACCGCGAATCGCTGAATCGACGCGCACAATCGAACTGCGCCCAGCCCCTCCACTTCCCTCCCACCTCCCACCTGTCTCCAGCCCCTCCCAATTCCCATCCACCCCGCTCCATCCAGCCCCAAGCTTCCACTCACTCCACCATCCGGCGCCTCCTTCCAGGCACGCTCCAGCCCCCAGTCGTCCCCGCCATGTCTGTCCAACTCTCCATCCTGCCTCTCTTCATCCAGCCACCTCCTCCCAGCCAAGCACCCACCAGCAAGCCCCCCTCCGTCCACATCGCCTTGTCCCATCCAGGCACCTGCACCCGAAACACCATGAAATGTTTGCAGTTCGAGGGCGGTCTTGCCGAAAAACAACTCAAAAAACTAGTGTCTAGACCGTACACCTGACTTACGCGCTACATATCCGGCATGGGAAAGCTTAATATTTCTTTAATGTCACACCCAAACTGTCCTGTGAGATTGTATGGAATTGCTTTGGTCCTATGTATATATACATATAACTATATTTAAGAAATGGGCGCAAAAATATTTTTTACTATGAAGGCTACAGCAAACGGAGTGTCCTGGGATGGCCAACGACGACAGGGCTTGAACCGTCCTGCCCAGTCCCATACTGTCTGCCAAGAGCGCGCCTGGACGTGGCGCCGGGAGTCGTTGGCAAATCCAGCGGACGCCTTCAGATTGATGAGTCTTTAGGCCGCCTGGCATCTTGCCACGCAACAAGGCAGCGCACCGCTCCAGCAAACCCTCACCGAGCGAGGGCGCGTCGAGGTCACAGTCCGGCAGCTCAAGCTCTGGCTCCTGCAACAGCAAACCCTCACCGAGCGAGGGCGCGTCGAGGTCACAGTCCGGCAGCTCAAACTCTGGCTCCTGCAAACGCTTCAGCACTGCATCCAATGCCTGAGAAGAAACATTGAGGCAAGCTGAAGACGCCACTGGAATGTCACTGGAACACACAGGACATAGACTTCAGACTTCGGCCATTCGGGACTTGAGGGACAGAGAAACTCAGCATTCTGGACTACAGCTCAGCGTCGTGAGATTCCTTAAGGTCCTCGTCTGCTCCATCGGCTCCTTCGGCCATCGGAACATCCTGGCTCACCGTGTTTGGCTCATCCGGATTTTGCTCATCCGGCTTTGGCTCATCGGAATCCTGCTTGGCATCGTCATCTACTGATGGATCCTCTGCCACTTCCTCCAGGAGCTCTTCCTCTTCCTCGACGGAAGTCTGGCCCTCCAAATGCTCACCGTCCTGGTCTTTGTTTCGGGTCCTGCAAATATGGGCGGACGAGACGACAAGGAGGTGGTTTTCCCTATGGCTGCAACTTGTTCATGAAGGGAGTCAGGGAGGGTTTCGGTTCGATGTCCCTCTGTCCTCGTTGCGCTTTTTGCGCGGGCAGCTGTTTGGGATTTCCTCCAGGATGTTCTGGATCTCTTGTTCCGCCTTGCAAATTTTAAAGAGGAAAAGATGCACCCGAGCCTTGCAGTCCATTTTGCCGTGCTTCAGGCCGAGCTCTGTGCATACAGCTTCAAGCAAACCGCGAGGGATAATTAGTCAAGATCGACACATCAGCAACATACTGTTGCAATGTCATCCAAGCCGAAGTGTGCTGCCGCCCTCCAAAAGCAACTTCAATCTCTTACGCGCAGGCTGTTGGGTAGCCGCATGCGCTCCAAGCTCTCGGCCAGATCGCTTGCGTCAGGAATCGCGACACAGCAAACAGTCAAACTCTGCAAGCTGCTGGGTAGTTTCATGCACTGCACGACGGCCGTCAAACTGCACGAGGCAACCTACTCAGGTCTGCAAACTGCTGGGTAGCTGCATGCGCTCCAAGCTCTCGGCTTGACATCGATGGCATCAGGAATCTCGGAACAGCAAAGTCAAACTCTGCAAGTTGCTGGGTAGTTTCATGCAATCACAGTGACGGCCAAACGTGAAACTCTACACATATAATTTGTGACACAATTGGAGGCCCTCTGAGCTCTGGTGATAGCACTCTCTTACGTAGCAGGCTAATGGGTAGCTGCTTGCGCTCCAAGCTCTCGTCGCTTTGCTGGCAGCAGGAATGTCGGTATAGTAAACAGACTTTGCAAGCTGGTGGTAGTTTCATGCTTTGCTAAGCGATGGTCAAACGTGAACTTTGCACATGCTGCACAGTAGCATGCCCTTCCAGCTTTGGCAACCTCTACAGACTCTACCGGCTGGCGGGTAGTTGCATGCCCTCCAAATCCAAGCTCCATACCACGTCAAACTCTGCAGATTCACTGCCTCCGGAATTCTCAAACGAATGGGACTACGAAGGTTGTGCATCTACACGAGACGATGTTTCGTTGAGGCTTGCTACCAAACGCATGCCGCTTCAGCAGAAAATTGAAGTGTCGACTCTTTGTTTTACAGTCATTAAGAGCCTGTCTTAAACTGTAGGACAGCTTTCAAACAATGCCGGCGACACATGACAACTGTTGGTTCTTTCTAATAAAAGCACTGCAAGTGTGCCCTAACAGCTCTCCCCTGCAACCCCTCGTGTCAATGTTGAAAACATTCCGAACAATGCTAGCTTTTGCGGAGTCCCGGGCTAACAAATGTTTTGTGACGCCGGTTTTGAAAACTGCTGCACAAGTTCTTGCAACATTGACGAGGGGGCACAGGGTTTGTAACAGCGCTGTCAACAGAAAGTCAGAAGTAGTCTACAACCACTTCTCCTGGCGCTTGCTCCTGCAAGTCCGGGGTGATAAACCTCGTATTTCGAGGGTTTCCCTTCCGTAGGATCATCTTGGCAAAGCACGATGCGCATCTCGGGATGGTGATGTCAGGATCGGTTAGCGACCGCTTGAACTCAACAAAAAAACACTTTCAGCCGCTTTCGCAGCATCGTGAGATCGGTGCAAGATACACCAGACTTGACCATGATCAGGTCATCCAAACGACCGGCCAAGAAGAAAGGAGAGCTGCCTCGCCAAATCTCATGCCCAGAGAACTGGTTCTGCGGTCGATGTACAGTCACGGCCAAACCTTCGAGAACAAACTGGAGTTGAAGGGCTATAGGATTGATGGCTGCATCGAATCTCCAGTCGTCCGAGATGGCAACCCGCGATTTGTCAAAGTTCCAGGAGCGGAAAGGTACATGGAGACGGCGAACCTATCACAGTTCCAGGCTGATGTCCTTCATCGGAGATAATGGAAAAGTTTTCCCTTCGTTCCCCCCGATACCGAGCAGGGCCAGAGTATGGCCTCTGGCGCGGCCATGTTGAAGGGCATCGTAGATGGCCTTCGTGAAGACTTCCACCGAGATTTCGTTTGCTTCCAGAATTTGTTGCGCGGCGCGGCCCCAGTGCCCGGCACAACCACAAGATCTTTCTGTTGCCTCCAAGATGAATTTCAATCTGGATTTCTTGGCTTGGATCACATGGTTTTCAGCTTCCTGCAGCAGCAAGAGTTTCTGACCCAATCCTTTGATTCCGGACAAGGTAGTCAATCATCGGCCCACCGCCTGACTGCTTCGCATACTGAAAGAGCTGCGCCTCGTACGCCGGGTCTTCGGACCTGAGGTTGAGCTTGACAAGCACGGGACACAGGTCAGTGGGGCCAAAGCGAGGGGCCGACTTGCCCCGTGACAGGTTGAGTTTGCGCTAACCGCTAACTTTTCACCAGCCCAAGCATCAGGCTTGAAGTTTCGATGCATAGCTTCGGCGAGCGGGGGATGACGTGAAGGGCTCCGGATCCAGGTCCTCGAGAGCTTTTCCAGGCCGCAGCACAAAGCCATATCGAACAGCATTGCTGTATCCTCCTGCCAGGCACACGATTTAGGCCACCTTAGCCTGCAAATATCATTGACAATTGTCAGCGTGTCCGCGATATTAGATATTGGCTATTAGATGTTAGGGTTCGAAGTTTTGGGTTTAATGTTAGGTGTTATGATCAAAAAAAGAACTGGGCCTGCAATGGCTTAAATTATTCCAGAACCTTGGTGTCAGAATGCACATGGTGTGAAGTAGTGATTAGATGGATGAATGATGACTGATGATGGTGAAGTCAACTGCTTCGGCTACCAGGTTGTTAGTAACCAGTGTATCAGGGGCTGGCTGGATGGAGGGCTGGTGGCTAGCGGCTTTCAAGGGCTGGACGGATAGGGGTTGGCTGGATGGAACGGAGGGTTGGATGGAGGGCTGCGGATGGAGGGGTGTGGCTGGAGGGCGGCTGGATGGAGGGGCTTAATGGATGGAGGGATGGGTTAACCAAATCGGAGCCAAACCGAACCGCAAGAAGAACGAACCGCAGCGAACCGCAACCGAGTCAAAGCCCATCCGAGAAACCGAAACGAACCGAAACGAAACGCGGCTTTACTATATTTGGGGACATGGACCCTTAGGGTAGTACAGGGGTTTTACTAATTGGAATGCGCTGTGATTCATACATGCATGCACTGCGAGGGACTACTTACTGCAACTACTTGGTTCGTGGCGCGTTCCCGCGCGTGGTACAAAAGGCATGTTCTCATCGACGGACGTGCAGAAAACATCGGCAGAGCCGGGTTTTGAGCATGTCGGTCAAGGCATGCCTAGTTTAGGAGGGAGCCTATTTGCCTACTTGCTTGCATTGAACACGGTCATGGACGTGCAGAAAACATCGGCAGGGGTGGGTTTTCAGCATTCCGGGCAACGCATGCCTATTTGAGGGGGGGGGAGGCTATTTGACTACTTGCTCGCATTGAACTGGGCGATGGAAGTGCAGAATACATCGGCAGGGGTGGGTTTTCAAGAGATCAGGCTTTTTTTCCTACATTGGGGGGCAGGCTGTTTGAGTACTTGGTCGCAAGTAGTTGTTACGGAAAGTGGCCTTTTCGTCGTCTCGCATGCTCGGCGCCCCGTCGGGCATGCTTCAGAGTGCAGAAGTGGAGCACTGAACCCAGGCTGTGTTCCAGGGTCTAGGGTTATTATCAAGGCTTCAAGCGGTACAGGGTGTAAGGTTCGTTCACGGGCAAGGGGTCTATAGGGGCTCTATATGGGATGTATGGATATAAGGGCCTTAAAAATTAGAATAGGGGTTCCTTTTAAAGGGGTTCTAGAACGGGTTCTAGAAGGGGTCTAGAACAGACGGGTCTATGTTTTAAGGGCCTTAAGAACTAGAACTGGGTTCCTTTAAGGGGTCTATAGGGGCTACTGTACGGGCTCTATACGGGATTTATGGATATAAGGGGCCTTAACAATTAGAATAGGGGTTCCTTGTCAAGGGGTCCTAGAACAGGTTCTAGAAGGGGTCTAGAACACACGGGTCTATGATTTAGGGGCCTTAAGAATTAGAACAGGTTTTCTTTAGAAGTGTGTACAGGGGCTACTATATGACACGGGCTGCTGCAGTAGGGGTTGCGGGTTCAGGCTAAGCCCCACCCAGTCTTCTAAAATGCCAGCTTGAAGTCAAAATCTGCAGCAGATTCCGCTTATGGGGCATCTGCCACAACACGGAACGCCTCGCCAAGACGAAGCAAGAAAACACCCGGCTCTAAGTTGCCCATGCTTTGGCGATACATGAATTGCGAGATCAGGTCTCGCAGCAAGAAACTTTCATGAGCATGCTGGCCGTGGCCGGTCTTTCGAGAGACCTTTGGCCCCACGAAGTCCTTGAGGGATTGCCACGCTCTATCCAACGTCTGCGTTCCGCAGAGCAGGTGTCGGGCACGCCAGTGCTTGTTTTGAACAGTTCTGGTCCAGTCTTTGCTTTAGACAGCATGCGATGTCATCCGGAGCTGCTGCGCAAGTGTCTGCCAAGCTCGGTTTCCATCGGAAAAAATTGTCGTAAAGGGGCGCCGGGCCAAAGGCACTTTGTGCAACAAGCCCGTCTGACGGATGCCTTCACGACTTTCCGTCGGAGGACGGCTGCCAGGAACAGTCACAGGCAAGTCTGGAATGGCCAGGATTGGGGGGCCACCCCGACGCATAATTCCCAAAACCTGGTAGTGTACAAAAAACACAGAAGGAATTACTTTGCCGGCACGGGCCAGCTTCGCAGTCAATGCTTTGATCTGCGGCTGGAAGCGCTTGCAGGTAGCTCGAACCGCAAACTTTCCGAGGGATGTTCCATCCACTTCGACAAGGCCGGACACCCTAATCTTGGCCTTCCAGCTACGCCCTCGCGCGGCTTCGACCTCACGCACGGCCAAGAAGTGGTCGGCCTGGTTTTCAGGGCTGAGACTTATCACATTTTCTTGTCCTTTCAACCCTGCATTTCCCTGGAAAACCCTGTATTTCTCTAAAAACCTATTCAACCCTGTATTTGCTCAGAAACCTATTCAATTCTGTATTTCTCCAAAAACCTATTAAACCCTGTATTCCCTTAGAAAACCTATTGAATTCTGTATTTCTTGAAAAACCTATTCAATTCTGTATTTCTCTAAAAACCTATTCAACTTTGTATTTCCCTAGAAAACCTATTCAATTCTGTATTTCTCTAAAAGCCTATTCGCTTTACACAAGATGGGACGACTTAAGCCAACAACTACTCTGTAGGGTAGAGGGTTTAAGGAGCAGCCCATCGCCTGTGTCCTGCCAACATGGCACTGTTGCACCAAGTCCCCGCTGCGAGGCGCGCGGTTGTAGGCCATCCCAACGTAGGCACGGAGCAAGCGAACCAGAGTCACAGCATCACACTTGAGTCCACAGAAGCGAGAGTGCTGGAGGAGGTACTGCATTTTTCCACAGGCCAGACACCTTGCGAGGTCTGCATTTCTAGCTTCAAGTTTTGTTTGTGAGTGTTTAAGTAAGTTTGGGAAAAGGATTGCATCAGCCTCCAGTGTGAGGGGTGAGGCGTCGTCCGTGCAATCATCTTCAAGCGACGTGCGCAGCAGTGAACGCATTTCTTCATCGGCGGAATGAAGCCCGTGTCCACCAACCATTCCTCAGCTTCGGCATCCGTAGTCACAGGCTGCGTGAGCACGGGTTCGGTAGGCATCTTCCTCGCATGCTGCGGGGCTGCGGATTAGGCGGGAAAAACCAAGGTTTTGCACAGGCATGAGTCCTGCGTAGTGCTGCCGGACAGGGATTGGAGACGTTCTTGCCCGTGTAAGCTAAAGCTGCGGCCTTGCGCTTCTTCGCGCGAGAATCCTGGGCGGAAGTGCGATGCTTCTTCTCCACTCTGCCTGCGTTGCTTTTCTGGGATGCACCGCTGCTCGTCAGCTCCTGCATCAAGGCGAAAGACATCTAGCATCTACTACTACAGTAACATGAGAAGTGACCCAAAACAGATATTCGTCTTCAACGTGGCCTTCACTTGGTTCTTGAGTGAGCGGATCAACTTGGCAGCTGCTGAGGGACAGGTCTCCAGGCGATGTCCGCACTTTCCGCACACTTTGCACCTGTGACTGCACTGCTTGCCTTTGCTTCTCGTGGAGGAGCCGGCCATGGCCGCGCAAGTAGTCCGTCGGCAAGAGCAGGAGCAGCAGTTCTGAGACGCAAAACGCCACGGACATTGTGTCGAACATGTTGAAGTATCTTGGGCTAGCAGTGGGAAATTCCTTAAACAAGGGCTTCGGGCAGCAATTAAGCCGTGGGCCTCGGGAATAAGCCCAAATCGTTTCCGAGGAGACTGAAAACGAGAACAGACAGAAATGGGCCCGATCAGCAGCAAGGCTCGCCAAAATCCGAAATCTGCATGCAGTTTCTTGAGTCGATGTGCCTGTTATGAGTCCCGTCATCATGAGCATGTGAAGAAGCACAAATTTGATCCATCACCGAAAGCACCCATTGAGCACGTGAGGAGGCACAAACTTGATCCAAACACTGAAGTGCCCATTGCACCCTGCGCGCGCGCTCACAATTTTCCCCATTTCAGCTGATTCATGTTATGCTGCATTGCCTGCCAACCACGATAGGATTTCATTGCCGAGGTGACGGCAGCGGCGGGCCTAAGTACCGACCCCGCTCGGTAGTTAAGCTTTCGGTCAGTTTAGGATTTGATTGCCAGCTTTCGGTCGGCCGGTTTGGGATTTGATTGCCGAGGTGCGGCACTGGCGGCTCCATTACCGACCCCCCATCGGTAATTAAGCTTTCGGTCGGCCGGTTTGGGATTTGATTGGTGAGGTGGTGGCAGCGGCGGGCTTAATTACTGACCCTCCCTCGGTAATTAAAACTTTCGGTCAGCCGGTTTGGGATTTGAATGTTGACGTGGTGCCAACGGCGGGCTTAATTACCGACCCGCCTCGGTAATTAAGCTTTCGCGCATCCGGTTCGGGTCTCGTTGCTCGTCGGTGCGCAAAATTACCGACCGCCCTCGGTAATTAAGCTTTCGGTCGGCCGGTTTGGGATTTGACTGCGACAGTGGTGGCAGCGGCGGGCTTAATTACCGACCCCCCTCGGTAATTAAGCTTTCGCGCGTTCGGTTCGGATCTCGTCGTTCGTCGGCACGCTTAATTACTGACCCCCTCGGTAATTAAGCTCCGGTCAGTTGCGGGGTGGTGCGCCCGTTCCCGAGGCCCCGGGCTTAATTACCGACCCCCCTCGGTAATTAAGCTTTTTGCAGTGAGGATGTCGGGAAAAAGTCTTCCTGAGCAGGTCGAAACCAGCTCCTCAGGAAGACTTTTTCCTGAAATCTTCACTGCAAAAGGCTTAATTACCGAACCCCCTCGGTAATTAAGCTCCGGTCAGTTGCGGGGTGCCGGGCCCATTCCCGAGTTGCCGGGCTTAATTACCGACCCCCCTCGGTAATTAAGCTCCGGTCTGTGGCAGGGTGGTGGGCCCATTCCCGAGGCCCAGGGCTTAATTACCGACCCCCCTCGGTAATTAAGCTCGCTCAGTTGCGGGGTGGTGGGCCCATTCCCGAGGCCCCCGGGCATAATTACCGAACGCTCTCGGCAATCAAGCTTTTTGAAGTGAAGATTTTCGGGAAGGAAGTCTTCTTGAGAAGGTCGAAACATGTCGAAACCAGCTGCTTAGGAAAATGTTGTCCCGGACTGGACCACTGCAAAAAGCTCAATTACCGAGGGTCGTCGGTAATTGAGCCCCGGCCCTCGGGAATAAGACATGTTCAGGAAAGGGTTCTCCGAACAGCTGTTTTCAAGCCGCATAATCTGGACCCTTCGAAAATGTACATGTGTGTGTATATATCTACACTTTTGTACTAATAAATACGAAACACCGCCAACACGTCTGCTGATTGAAAACTAGGAACTGCCATGTTCAGGTCCGACAAACCGGAGTTTACCCTTCGAGCCCTTACCCTGTTCAGACAAACAGCCCCAAACCGTCAACGATAGTAAAGTGCCGATCTGGATCTGAGCTTCAAAATTCGAAGGACCGACTAGGTCTCGAGATTAATGATTAATGTCACGATTCTTGAGTCTTGAGGCCTGAAAACTCAAGCACAGAACCCTCTGCAAAACAGACCACCAGCGATTCCAAGTTATATCTGGTGAAATGCTTTGTGTTTGCATGTTTTTCTTTTTTGGCACAGTTCTTCCTAACAACGCCCACGAGGATCAGTCAGGAATGTACCGGATGGACAATACCATTGACTGCGCCGCATGGATGCTCCTGAGCAACGAAAAATAAAAACAACCCAGCAGCAGCAGCAAAAGGCATGATTCGGGAAACAATGCGCAACTTTCCAGAACGATCTAGTCTCAGAAAAAGCGATTTCGGAAAGTTCCCCCGGATGTCAGGTGCTATTCCCGAGCACCACCCTTATTTAAGGAATTTGCCAGCTAGCAGTGCTTCAAAGAAAGTGCAGACCGACGTGTGGAGGGATTTGGGTTTGGGGCACAGGGTGCAGCAGGATGCATTGTTGCACGATCCGTCGCTGCAGCAGTCGTCGAGAGTCAAGCCTGGTTAAGCCAAAGCTGGGCTCTTACATCGCTGCACAATTTCTGCTCTGACGCAGAGAGGTCCGGAATACGATCTCGCGGGAACGGCTTCTGCCCCCTGCACTTGAGGCTGGATCCATAACCGCAACCGAACCACTGCTTACACATCAAAACTGGCATGCCTTGTTTTGGGCCGGACTGGAAAACATGGAAGCGCATCGGTTCCGTACACTTCACGCAGCGGCCCCACTTGGTAGGGCGTAACGTCCCGCGCGCAGCTTGCGCGCCGCGAGCCAGCATCTGGTGACAAAAGGCTGCAGGTTCCGACGCAGATGCCGCCTCGATCTGCGGCGCAGCGTCCTTCGGTTCAGTGTCCTGACTGTTAAGAGAGGAAGGCTGGGAGACAGGACCAGATGACCAACTGTGGATGCTGTCCACATCGCAGTCCAACACCGCCTCGTCCTCGTGTCCAGATGCCAAGGCGTCCTCTGTCCGCATGCGGTGGCAAGCCTTGAGTCGTTTGCTATGGGGGTTGTCGCCTTCCCGAGCGGGAGAAATTGCCCTCGCATCCTCCGGGTGCAACAGCCCGTAGCGTAGCCCTGTGCTTGGACTCAGACTGACAGGAGAGGCCGCACCGTTCCTCGCCGACCGCGGCGGAGTACTGTCGGGGCTGCAGGTGCCAGAAGGCAAGGACGAAAGCTCAGAGAATTCCTGCCAGGCGAACTTTTGTTTGTTATTGTGATCGTCTATTCTTACCCACCATCGTCGGACTCCATCCATTCCAGCAGGATAACGTCCAGATCAGACTCCATCCCAGCAGCAGAACATCCATGTGCCAAGCATGATCACGTCCAGATCAGACTCCATCCCAGCATGATCACGTCCAGATCAGACTCCATCCCAGCATGATCACGTCCAGATCAGACTCCATCCCAGCAGGATAACGTCCAGATCAGACTCCATCCCAGCAGGATAACGTCCAGATCAGACTCCATCCCAGCAGGATAACGTCCAGATCAGACTCCATCCCAGCAGGATAACGTCCAGATCAGACTCCATCCCAGCAGGATAACGTCCAGATCAGACTCCATCCCAGCAGGATAACGTCCAGATCAGACTCCATCCCAGCAGGATAACGTCCAGATCAGACTCCATCCCAGCAGGATAACGTCCAGATCAGACTCCATCCCAGCAGGATAACGTCCAGATCAGACTCCATCCCAGCAGGATAACGTGCAGGTCAGACTCCATCCCAGCAGGATAACGTCCAGATCAGACTCCATCCCAGCAGGATACGTCCAGATCAGACACCATCCCAGCAGGATAACGTCCAGATCAGACTCCATCCCAGCAGGATAACGTCCAGATCAGACTCCATCCCAGCAGGATAACGTCCAGATCAGACTCCATCCCAGCAGGATAACGTCCAGATCAGACTCCATCCCAGCATGATCACGTCCAGATCAGACTCCATCCCAGCAGGATAACGTCCAGATCAGACTCCATCCCAGCAGGATAACGTCCAGATCAGACTCCATCCCAGCAGGATAACGTGCAGGTCAGACTCCATCCCAGCAGGATAACGTCCAGATCAGACTCCATCCCAGCAGGATAACGTCCAGATCAGACTCCATCCCAGCAGGATAACGTCCAGATCAGACTCCATCCCAGCAGGATAACGTCCAGATCAGACTCCATCCCAGCAGGATAACGTCCAGATCAGACTCCATCCCAGCAGGATAACGTCCAGATCAGACTCCATCCCAGCAGGATAACGTGCAGGTCAGACTCCATCCCAGCAGGATAACGTCCAGATCAGACTCCATCCCAGCAGGATAACGTGCAGGTCAGACTCCACCCCAGCAGGATAACGTCAAGATCAGACTCCATCCCAGCAGCAGAACATCCATGTGCCAAGCATGATCACGTCCAGATCAGACTCCACCCCAGCAGGATAACGTCCAGATCAGACTCCATCCCAGCATGATCACGTCCAGATCAGACGGCATCCCAGCAGCACGATGATGGTGCGTATTCTTAGAGTGTATATATATATATATATGGTCACCCCACCCCCCCGTTGACAGACCATGCCCTTTCAACTCAGTCGTAGTGCATGGTTTGTGATCGGGGGAAGGGGCACTCAGCTTTCAAAAACTCAATTCCAAAATTTCCAAAATTCTCTCCCCTAACTTTCAAGATTTCCAAAATTTCCGAAATTTCCAAAATTTCAAAAATTTCCGAAATTTCCAAAATTTCCAAAATTTCCAAAAAGTCAGCCCTTATGTTTTGGAAAGATCCTGTCGACTAGGTCGGGCCGCTTTGGAAATTTTGGAAATTTTGGAAATTTCGGAAATTTTGGAAACTTGGAAATTTTGGATATTTTGGAAATTTGGGAAATTTTGGAAATCTCGGAAATTTTGGAAATTTTGGAATTGATTTTCAATGGGCTGATTGTGACCCATCGGATGACAGACCATGCATACGACTCACTTGCAAAGGCAAGGTCTTTTTAGACGATTGTCAGTGTTTGTATATGTATATAAACATAAATATATATATATATATATATATATATATATTTTTTTTTAAAGTGGTACTCCTACGAATACTATTACCAATACTTATACTGACATTGATCATTTGCTGACTGCCCAAGCTACTAATACCAGCATTAACACTAATATTTACACTTTTTAAGCCAGGACGAATAGGCACCATACAAATACTAATAATGATTAATACTGACGTTCATACTCCTACGCGTATCAAGAATTATGCCCATATTGGTAGTAGTGTATTTTAATACCAATACTAATACACACCTGCGTATACCAATGTACATAAAAATACCTACCACTATATTAAAATCCAAATACATTAGCTCATGCATGTATTTACCTGTTAGTATTTTCATGTAATCAGGAGTAATACTAATATAAGACAAACGTTCATGCGAATACATAACCTCACTTTAATATTAGCACTAGCACTAACACTATTACTAATACCAATCACACTGTTTATACCAACACAAAGATTTACATAAGTATTGATAGTCCTACGGATACTGCTGCGTATACTCTTATGCTGTTAACAGTAATGCTGTCACCAATACTAATACTGACATTGATAACTTGTTGAATATTCAAGATAATGCCAGTATTAATACCATCATTAACACTTATACTAAGGCTAATACGACTATGGATAATCCTAATACGAATATTCACATTAATACTCCTGCGAATACCAATAGTCATACACATATTGATGTGAAGACTAATACCATTACAAAAGACACGTGCATATGCTAATGCACACCAGAACACATACCATTATCTTAAAATGCCGATATGTATCAATGCATTCATGTACTGATGTTTTAGGGCAAGCAAATGCCCATATACCAATGTAACAATACACTCTTGTTAATGTGCGAATATACTATACTAGTATGCTATTATACTAGTATGCTACTATACTAGTATACGACTACTGTAATATGCAAGTATACCGACATGGCAGGTGAGTGTACTAATATGACAACATACTGATGTACTTATAAATCTTTAGACAATACACGTATATTGCATATACTAGTATACTAATACACTAATGTACGAATATACTGGTATGTTAATATACTAATATATTAATACAGCAATACACTAGATTACTCATGCATCAGTTATACTAAAGTATTAAATCTACGAATATGCAAGTATACAAATATGTTGCCTCTCGAACACATCAATGTGTTGATATACCAACCTGCTGATATACGAAACTATCAGAATAGTAACATATCGAAACTAACTCTAATTTTGATACCAATACTAGCACCTCTGCCATTATTAACTGATATTAAATCCAGCATGAAGACTGATACTAATACTAGCAGTGGTACTGTTACTGGCATTGACACTGGCACTAACACTAAGACTAAAACGAAGATGAGCACTAACATTAATGTATACTTACTACTGTCGATACATACATATATATGTATATATATATATATATATTCTTACAGTAAACACTCATACTATTGCTGACACTAATACTGATACCAATATTAATACTCATACTCATCCTATATCAATGCTACCACAAAAACTCATAACTCACGTGTCGCGCGTCTGGTCCATGCGTCCTCAGTACATGGCATGTTAAAAGTATACTTGGTATATGTACTGTAAAGGATTTGCTTTACAGATTGTCGTCATGTGTGGTGTGTTTAGATACAGTATCTCAGCCTAGTCACCGAACGAGAATACACTATCACAAGGGCATGGTCTGTCAACGGGGGGGGTGAGCATATATATATATATATATACATATGTATACTGACATATCTGTGACGGAATGCTCCTGAGGGCACATCTTTCAATGCAAGATTTGAAGGTTGAAAGTTTAGGACTTGAGCACCGAAGTTAAATCTCTGCACAACCCCTTTAGGACTTCTCCGACACTTCGAATAGAACCAAGCAACAAATCCATGTTTCCCCCACACGGACAGGACAGGACAAACAGATCAAAGCAAGCGCCCAAGCTTCAAAGCTGAAACCCTGGAATAGAGAAAGGTGGTTCCTCCTGGCAGCGCCGCGGTCGCTTCGGAGTCTGAAACAAAGCATCTGCTGCGACCTGCTTCGATTCCGACGACAAGAGTCCGGAAAAGAGTCCCGAAAGCCCCAAAGTTTATTAGTTGAGGGAGTGCCTCTTCGATGACGGCCGGAGGCGCTTGCAGAAGAACCGATGAGCTCGAGTCAGCGGACTCTTGGGATGCCATCATTGCCGAATGGATATCCTGGGGCCAACATAACCAGCTATAATCTTCAAGCAAAGCAATCAAAGAACCAAAGATGTGAATACCCCACAATTCGAAATCCTCTTCGTCCGAAGCTAGAGCGTGCATATCCAGATCTGCAGCGAAAATATCATCTGAAGCATCTGGAGAAGCGATGGGCATTTCAGAAAAGGAGTCTTGTCGACAACGCCGCTGCAGATCTGCCAGTTGTTCGGCTAGGTCCGGAGGCAAAGGGCTCCACTCGGACAGTGGCCCATACCGTCCGACCAGGAGGCGTTCGTGACGCCGAACCAAGTCATCTACCAGATGGGACGAGCGCAAGCGAGCCATCTCGTGCCGAAGGACCGCAGACAGGAGCGCGAAGCAGCGCACCAAGGAGACCCAGGGAAGAGCTCCGCGAAGGCCCTCCCGCATCATGCCACAGACTGCCACATCTGCTGCCGGGGAACCAAGGAGACAGAAGACCTGTTGCAGGCCGCATGCATGGGCTGAGGCCAAAGGTAACGCAGGAACGCCACAGATGATGTGCAGGCAAGACGCTTCGAAACTGTCCGCGAGCTCCACTGCAGACACAGACCAAAAGGGCGCCAGCACAGGGCTAGGACATCGAGTGCCAATGCCGCGCAGCAAGAGTAGCGAGCTCACGGCCAACGCCAGCCACTGGAACATGCTCGGCGACCCTTCTGAGACCCTTCTTCGGGCCAGAGCGCAGGAGGCCGCAGCAGTAGTAGTCTGAACACGAAGCACTAAAGGGCAGCAGGCATCAGCAGTAGTAGAGCTAGTCTGAACACAAAGCACTAAAAAGCAGCAGGCATCAGCAGTAGTAGAACTGCTAAGAGTAGAACAGGTTCGTCATTAAGCCCCCCCCCCACCCCCCCCCCACCCCCCGAAGCCGCAAAACATGCAAAAACCTGCAAAAACTACACGCGCGTGTACGCGCCACACTCCAACTACTTAGTCAGACCCCCGATAGACCCCACTTTGAAGTTAAACAGTCTAGTGCTGACGCAATGGTGGATTTCTGAGGACCCATGCCATGCGCATGCTAAGACTAGACGAAGTTAGTAGACCCTGCAGTCTACCGCCCCCCTCCCTCCTGTGATCAAGGAAGCTAAACTCCAAACCCTCAGAGTAATGTATGAACTGATTAAGAAACCTAGGGTCCTTATTAGCCTTCTTAGTTTGGGGTTATAGGGCCAGGGTCTCTTAATCAGGTTCCTACATTAAAAGCCATTAAGCTACTAACGGCTGGAATCCTCGAGTCGGCACATGTCGTGCCAGCTATGCACAGATCACACATGCAGCATGCAGCTCTCTGCAGCTTCTTCTGCCCTGAGCAACCGCATCCTTCGTCGCAATTCGGACCCGGCTTCACTTTCCCCAAGGGTCCAAAGGACCCAACAATTAGGTATTCGGTTTTAGGATACTAGTTATGTAGCTTAGGATTTTGGAGAGTATATGACTATCAGGTACTTGGACCCGTGGGGTTTTCAATACCGAGGGAGGTGCCCAGGAAGGCAGACGTACAAGATTGTTGAAGAGAAAAAACCACTTGTGGGAGAAAAGCCCTGCATCCCGGATTGTTGAAACTACGCGAGACCATCAACTTCCAGATCCTGCATAGCAGACCCCTGCTGTGTGCCTGTCAGGCTCCAACGTAGATTAGTTTCCATGAGCCTTCAGAATACTGTAAGGCCTAAATAATTACCTATTTTGGGGGGGTTCCTGATTATGATTATGGTATAACATACCCCAAACCCTATTCTAAACATTAAGGCCCCGGTATTACGCCGCCCGTCCAAACCCCAGTCTTACTTTTCAGGCCCACATATACTAAAACCTACAGAAGAAGTCCAAGAGTTGGCAACCCAATAGCCTCGATCCTTAAGAGCAATTTCTAGGGAGTCCCAGCACTATTTGGCCTTTATCCGGTTTCCAACTTTATGGGGATAACTGTATGAGTCCACTAACCAACCCTTCACGAGACGTGTGTTGCTCCGACTCGTTTCTTTTTCTGTATTCTTCAGGGCGTGGTTCTGCCCCAAAACACATTAAACATCTACCGGGTTGTTAAGCACCTTAAAAGCGATCCTGCCGATCCAGAAAATGGGGATTATGGCCATCTGTAACCATAAAAGTTAAACGGCCCAAGCCCCAAACCCTACACCTTAAATCCTAAACTCTAAACTTAAATCCTTACCCCAACCCCTATTACCCTAACCCCAAACTCTGATCCCTAAAACCTACGCACCCTCAAACTCTAAACACACAGCGGTGCTTTCAAGGTCTGATCATGGCGACGTTGCCTCAGGCAACGGTCGCAGTTCCTGGAAATCGAATGCCCCTGCGAGGTCGGTAGGAATCCTTTTTGCTTGTGATTGTTGTTTCTTTGTGTGTTTTAATGGCTCTTCTCCGGCTACTGGCAGATTTCTATTGGCTTAGGGGGTTTCGTTTAGGGCTTTAGGATTAGGAGTTTAGGGATTTGGGCTTTCGGGCTTAGGGAAGTAAGGTCTTCGGGTTTGGGGGCTCTCGGGCTCGGCTACTTATAGGTTCCCCAAGCTTCACGGTCCTTAAACCTTAAACGGTCTACTCTGCTGCTTTCACTGTTTGGAAACGGCTGAACAACAATGTAGGGCTTCGCAACTACGATCCGCGAGATCAGACCGGTCGTGTGCTGGCAGAATAAAAACCTAAGGGTCCAAGTACCTAATTATCCCTAAACCCTATACCCTAAACCGTTTAGAGTTTAGGGGTTTCGGGTGGTTTCGGGTTTAGGGTTTAGGCCTTTGCTCTCGAAAAAAGTAACCTACATAACTACTATCTGAAACCTAAGTACCTAATTATTGAGTCTTTCGGACCCTTAGGAAAAGGTGAAGCTTGCGGAAAAAAATGAGGATCGTCAGTTGTGGTGATATGGGCGAAGGTTCATCAGTCGGGGCCTCACAATAGGAGAGGATCTTGCAAAAATGCCTAGACCCTAAATCATACACCCTGTTTAGGTCTCTGGGCTTTAGGGCCTAATGGGGTTTAGGATCTTTTCAGGTACCTTACTTGGACCGACCCGTCCAGGGCTCCATGCACGTGCCTGTCGGCGATCATTTCTCTGCACTGCTACTTTTGTGGAGTCGAGGGGGCTTTGAACGTTGCTGTTGTCGATGCTATTGGTACTCACTGGATGCGTTGTTGTCGTTGCCGTTGCGAATCATGCGGGGGTCGCCGTGTTGCAAAAGTATTGAATGCGACAGGGCGACCCGCTATAGTTTCCGAGCCCTGGGCTACATCGAGATTTTGGTAAACCCGAAACCGTTATAAACCGTCGACACCTGAAACCCCACAACCCTACACCCTTGACCGCCTGAACCCTGAAGACCAACATCCTGAACCCAATATGCCAGTAATTGCTTCAATCAAGTGTGCAGCAACGACCGAGTGAAACGTGGAAATGTCTGCGCATGCTGAGTTTTGCGTTGGATTTTGAGCTTTAAAGTGCGCTTGAGGCCACTTCTGGCATGGGCTTTAAAGAAGGTTCAAGTATACTCCCTATGCCGTAAACCCTGAAACCAACAAACTCTAAGCCCTGCCCTGGATCCCTAACTCAGCATGCTATGCTTCGGCCGGTGCCCTTTGATTTCTTGAGGGCACCAGGGCTTTCGAGGTTTGCAGTATACAGTTGAGGGTTGGGTATAGAGGTTATTATTCCGGTACAGGGTTTAGGTCGCTACTAGCTGAGGCTTTGGGATTTGGGCTGTGGTCTCGGGCATTTCAGCTCCAGGACATTGTGTGTCCCATGAGTCGAGTTCAAGTTTGCTGTATGTATGTATGATACTTCCTTCTAGTATGGCATACCATGAGTTGCTACAGTGTACTGTAGTAAATTGTGCATCGAGGTACCTTGCCTTTGGCTTTGCCAAGACTTTGTGCAAGTGGCCTCATGATCCAAGCAACAAGCCACATATTCCGAACATATTTAAACAAGAAACTATGTCCAGGTCGAACTGGGAACATCTAATCTACTGGCATCAGGGCAAAGCTAGATCCCTGTGGTATAGATGTATAATGTGAAATTAGTTGTTCATGCCATACGTTCGCCTCGTGCTGCAACGGTAACGTATCTCGAAGTTCCCAAACACTCTACCTACACTTTGACGCTAAGCCGTAAACCTCTAAACAGCAAAACCGAAACACGAAATCCTACAGTAAAATCTCGAAGCCGTTGGGTGCAAAGACCTCACGCCTTTCCACGACTGTCTTCGGGATCTCTGAAATGGCAGAAAGTTAGGTTTTGTATGGTAAACTCCCCGACACTAGGAACATGAATAAGCGGTGATTCGTGATTGGGATTTCTTAAGGGCACGAGGAAAACGAAGCTCCCAGCTTTAGGGCTTCACGGCCCCTGCTTGAGTACCTAATGAGTGAATGCCTTACTCGACTCTCTCTCGCTCGCTCACTCTCACTCACTCTTACTCACACTCTCCCTTTCTCCCTCTCCGCGTCTCTCTCCCTTTCTCCCTCTCTATCTTTCTGCCTTTCTCTCTACGTATACACAGCACACTAAACTGGCATAAACTGGCGCAGTTCCTAGGGGCTACGACATCATGCAAGATAAATCATGAAGCATAACAGGCTTTGGTCCCAAACCTCGCTTTATTTGAGGCTCTTTGGCTTCAACTATGGAAGTTTGGGGCTGTGGGCTGTGGGCAGGTTCCGACCTTTAGGTTTAAACTTTAGGGGGCTTGGCTGTGCTGTCTAGCATGCAGTCCTTTAACTCTTGCTGCTTCCGGTGTTTATGAATGAGGCCGCACGCAGAGAAGTCCTACCTTCCTCCAGGACAGGGCGGAGACCCGGAGCTTTACCTGCAGTCTCCATTGTACTTATAGTACCTCTAGTCTTTAAGGCTCAGGGCCCCCGGGTCGGGTCCCAGGAGAGAGACGTCAGTCGCAGCCGTCGTCTCCTTCACCGTCTTCGCCGTCCGCCTACGTAGAGTTCAGGGTTTCGGGCTTTAGGGGTTTAGAAACTACGGTTTAGGGTTTAGGGTTCCGGGCTCTAGAGGTTGAGAAACTACGGTTTAGGATATCGAGTTTAGGGCTCAGAAACCCTACATAGAGGGTATAGGATTTTCAATCTGAATCAAGTCTCAGATCAGAGACTCTCACATCCCAATAAACAAACAGCGTTGGAACCCGAAACGCCAAAGCCAGTAAGCCTAAGAAAACACCAAAGCCCCCGATGCCAAGCCCCGAACCCCGAATCAATTTCTTCAAACCTGATCATCCCAAGCTTTGCTTCATGGAGCAACACAAATTTGCATCTGAAACTACAAAACCACAATCACGAAACCCGAACCACAATTCCTTTGCACCGTGCGCCGCGGAACCCCTCCTGAAACCCCAAACTGTAGAGACCCAATCCTAAGCCCTCCAAACCCGAAACCGTTCTTCAAGGCCCAACACTAAATCCTAAACCCTAACCCTAAGGGTCCACAGGACCCAATAGATAGGTACTGGCTTTTAGGATAGTATATATGTAGGCTGCCATTCTAGAAAAATATTGTATGATAGTCAGGTACTCGCACGCTTAAGGCAGACCCGTAAACCCCAAACCGTTAAACCCCTAAATCCTAAACCCCTGTACCCTAAACCCCTAAATCCTAAACCCCTAAACCCCTAAACCCCAACCGTAAAGACTCTCGGAAAGATCTCTGCAAGCCAAAGGGCCTCATCACCGTCGCCCTCGCCTCCCAAACAAACGAAACCACGACCAAAACCAGGGTGCAGAGTGAGAGAGGCTTAGGGGTTTTGGGTTTTGGGTTCAGGGTTTTTTAAAGCTTCGGGGTCTAGGGTTTAGGGGTTGGGGGTTTAGGGTTTAGGGGCTTGGGTTTTGGGGTCTAGCGCTTAATCGGGAAGAAAGCTCGACTGTCCAACAGCCCCTACTTCCAAATCCCGTGCTAAGGATACCCCAACTGAAAGCTAACCGAGTTCCACAGGTTTAGGATGTAGTTCGGGTGTAACAACGGATGTAGCGTTGGATGCGCAAAATCTCAACATTCTCGACATTATGACATACACCCCGCAAGCCCTTCCGGCCAACACGATGGGAACCCCCCTTTATCAGTGCTATGCCCCACCACAACCATACCTAAACTGAACAACGCTGAGCACTATTTCCCCTGACAGCCCAGCACACCCATCGCAGACTACACAAAGATCTCCAACACTACTCTAACTTCCGTTCATCTACCCTTCTGGTCCAAAGGACATAGTAACTGGGTACTGAGGTTTAGGATACTGTAGTACTTTGGACAGTATATCGTAGTTAGGTACTTGGACCCTCAAGGCCACAGCAGACCCTAAACCCTAAGCTTTGAACCCTAAACCCTGAACCCTAAACCCTGAACCCTAAACCCAAAACCTTAAACCCCTAACCCCAAACCACTAGCCCTAAACCCAACTCTCTTCCCGAGAATGAACGCTGTTGTTCCGAGAAAGCTCTCAGGGCACCTGCAGTGGTTCCCTCGGCTGACCTCGTGATAAGCGTGAACATATCATACGCTAAAAGGGGGGGGAAAGGGTTTAGGGATTACCCAAAGGGTCCAAAGGATCCAATAATTAGGTACTCGGTTTCAGGATAGTAGTTCTGTAGGTTACTATTTTGGGGAGTATATGATATTTAGGTATTTGGACCCTTAGGATGATTAGGGTTTGGGGTTTAGGGTTTATGGTGTAATAGGGGTTCAGGGTTTGGGGGTTAGGGTTTGGGGTTTAGGGCCTGGGTTTAGGTAGTACCCCAAAGGGTTCCTTTAAAGGGTTCTATAAGGGTACCATGCCATGAGGGTTTAGGGGTTTAAGGGTCCATGTACGCGAATAGTATATGCTTTGGCCCCCCCAATGTACCTCAATAGGGACTACTGCAAAGTATACACTATTGGGATACGGGTATGGGCCCCCGTGGACCCAATGGAAGACTGAGCTGTAGTGTTCCATCCGGCTTCCACCAGAACAACAACTCAACAAGGCAACAACTCAACAATGAACTCTAGTAGCAGATTCCCACATCAAGTCTTTCACAAACACTGGTTAAGATTTCTTGGGGTAGGGTCTCCTAAACATGAACCCTATTATGGGAACCCTATACCTACTAAACCCCCACAGGCTAAAACCCCTTTTGGCCCCCTATGAAACGCACAGTAGAGGACCGGGAAGCATAAAGCCAAGTCTTCAGGGAGCGGTTTCGGGTTTTACAGTCTAGGCGCAAAGAGGGTGTTCTTTTGCCTTCGAGTCCTGAGGTATTAGGTTAGGGTGGTGAAGCTTATATTGAAGGTTTCAGGCATCCGTGCTTGGGACTGGCGTGGCTTGGGGTTGGCGTTGCGGGACTATAGGTGAGAAGCTAATTACCCCAAGGGTCCAAGTACCCGATAATCCTACACTGTCCAGAATCCTAACCTACATAACTACTATCCTAAAACCGAGTACCTAATTATTAGGTCCTTTGGACCCTTAGGGTGTGGCAGGAGCTTCTGCCGCCCCGGTGAAAGGGACTTCTATCTTCTACCGAAGCTTCACTGCGAAGCACTCGAAAGGATCCCCCGGCATTTTCGAACTGGTATACTGCAATACTATGCCAGAATAGTTCATCTAGCCGATACTGTCTTGACACACTACAAGAAATATTCTGTGGACACATCTGCCTGTGTCCTTGTGGCTTATACATGACATAGTGATACTGGCGAACCTGACTTGCTCAAGACAACAATCAGCATAAGCGTGGTCAAACGTAGAGTTGGTGTATCGATTGCCATCCTCGCAAGAACACTCACCACCCTCGCAGCGTCGCGAGGCGCCAATAGAACATGCGAAGCAACGGAACAGATATGTGATTGAAGGTGTTGCGAGACAGTGATTAGCACTCTGGACCCTTGCAGCCTCATGACAAAGACAAAGGCCAAAGGCATAGAAATTAAAGCCAGCTACGGAGAGGGCCTGCGCACCGAAACTCTACACTGTGAAACCAAAACGGTATAGCTTAGAAGCTGCCCCCACCCTGTAATAGTGACTATAAGGATTATATTCGGGCCCCAGTATACTCCTTCTCTACCACTATTACAGGGTGGGGGCCCCTTCTAAGGTATAGCCTTAAGCCCTAACATCCTCCCTCAAACTGCAGGGTATTAGGATGCCGGCTTCTTCGATGCCTTTCTCTTCTTTTTCTTCTTCGCCTGAAGCTGCAGCTGCAGGAAACCCTAGACCCGAAACTCCAAACGCCAAGCCCTCTTGTTTCGGGAGGCTTGGGGGACACCCGAGGTATTCCACACTTACATGGGCTGGGGCTTTGGGTTTAGGTGTTCTGGTTATAAAGCCCTAGGTTTAGATAAAACCGTGTTCAAAAACTTCATTTAATGATTCCTTTCATTGTCCTCTGTGTGACCAGCGTACCGCAAGTCGTACACAAGAGACATGACCCTCGAACGATTTGCAGATTTCCTTCTTGAGCGAAGTACCCTGCATTGTCCTAGGAGAGAAGGGTTGCGGGGTGTAGGCTACCAAAAAGGCTACTAATACTGCAACATACTGCAACTGTGCAGGGAGACTATTCCCTAACGCCCAAGCATGTAGAAGACTGCTAGCTACACGCTTCTTCTAGAACCCCTGAGAAGCATGCTGAAGCAAGCAACTATAGAGCCCTTAGGCCCTATGATTACAGACCTTCAACCCTCAGACCCCAAACCCTCAAAGGAGCCCATCAAGGAGGTATGGAACCCCTAAGCGGATCCTTGAACACCGATTAAGACCCCTAACCCCGCCTCCCGCCCAGAATCACTTACAAATCCTTTACACAACCCAACCACACAGCCTATAGAAGTCAATTAAGACCCTCGTCACGTTCATTCCTCTGTTCTGATTCGGCCTCAGAATCACCCCGCTCCTCCGACCCCCCCTCCCCCCCCCGCCCCGGCAACAACTAGCCTCTGATACAGCCTGCATGCACACTGTTTAAGATCACGAGGGGCTACATTCAAGGAAAGGGTACTTAGGGAGGGACCTAAACCTTGAACCCTTATACCATGAAGCAAGCGGCTCTCGGCATTCTAGACTGTATGTAAACCCCAAACTATGAACCCCAAACTCGAAACCCTACACCCTAAACCCGAAACCCTAAACCCAAAACCCGAAGCCCTAAACCCTATGAACCCCAAACCCTAAACCCTAAACCCCCAACCCCAAACCCTAAAACCTAAACCCTAAACCCGAAGCCCTAAACCCCAAACCCTAAACCCTAAACCCCCAACCCCAAACCCTAAACCCTAAACCCGAAGCCCTAAACCCTAACCCTAAACCCCAAACCCTAAACAGTCCGTCCTTCGGCATCTTCATCTTCTTGCCGAGGACTTCCAGCTGCGAGTTGCAAGCGAAGCCCATGCGCTGCGGGACCTTCTCTTCGAGCTTCGGTTTAGGGTTTAGGGTTGTTCGGATTTTGAAGGGTTCCCCCTTCACGGATATCTTCAAGGATTCCTTTAAGGGTTCCTCTGTTCCTATGGGGGCTTTAGGGATTGGTTTGGGGGGTTCCTGTAAGGGTTCCTTTGAGGATTGCTTTGAAGCCTTTAAGGCTTCCTTCAAGGATGCTAAAGGTCCTTCAAGGGTTCCCTCCAGGATTGCTTAAAAGGGTTCCCTCAAGGGCTTCTTGACATGTTCATGCAAGGATGCTTTGGAGGATTGCTTGAAGGCTTATACGGTGCCTGCAAGGGTTGGCTTTCAGCTACGGCTCCAAAGGTCTGTCAAGGGTTTCAGGCTTGGCAGGGCTCGCCGGGTTTATAGCTTCTAAGTTTTGCAGTTGCACGGACACTGTGTAAAAGGGGCCGTTGATGATTCGACTATGAGTTCGGGTATATTCTAGTACTATTCGAATAAGGAGCCCCAAGGATTAATGTTGGCAATTCTTCGGGCCTGTATGCTCAGCCCCAATAGTAACCCTCATAGTACAACCTTATCGAAACCTGTAAGCTAAAGGGTCCCAAGGACCCAATGGTTAGGTACTCGGGTTTAGGATAGTCTCACTGGCCCAAACCCAAGGAAATATAAGTTTAAACTTTCAGAGGCGACTTCATTATAAGAACCCCAAAAGTTGAAAAGTTGAGTTTACGGCCAATAAGTAATGTAGGCTAGTATGTGGTAATGAGATACATGGACCCTACAGGCTGACTAGGGTCTGACAGGGCTGCGTGTGCGCTAGGAGAGCTCAGGGTTTAGGGTTTAGAGGTTTAGGGGTGTAGGGAATAGGGTTTAGGGGTTTAGGGTTGAGGGGTTTAGAAAATAGGGTTTATGGGTTGAGGGTTGTGGGGTTACGGGTTTAAGCGCCTGGTGATGCAGATGAGAATGCACATGCGACCGCATAGGGCTCAGAGTTACTTAGCTTCAACTTCCCCAACTCACTCCACACAACGTCGCATTGCTCTCTGCACACACAAGGGTTGAAGCCCCAGGGACCCCAAGATAGCTGACAAACAGCACAAGCACAGACACAACCACCGTCCCTGAGGTTCCTGAAAAGTGTTATATACCTACTTGCCCGGTATCATGGGGAACTAAAGGTTAACTTTTTTGGTTATATAGGGATTATATAGGGACTACACTACCCCAAAAGGTTAAAGGTTACCTACTCTACTACTAGGTATATGTCTCCTGATCTCAAAAGCCTTGGAGTAGGATTAGGAGTGATGAATAGCGTTTCAGGGAAAACATAGTATAGTCATGATCCGGAACCCTGAAGAATACTATTGTCCATAATCCAGGCCCTTATGCTAAAGCCTAATACCGCATCTTACAGAACCCTTTGATTACAGGAGCCCGTTAACACGGCGTCTACGTCGGGGGTAAGACTTGGCTGACTTCTGAACCCCTCCCAAAGGTTAAACTTTTAGCCTCCCTATTCTGGTTAATATCGAAACCCCAACAAGTTAAAGTCCTAAGAGCCTCACTGGCCCAAAACCCAAGGAAATAAAAGTTCAAACTTTCAGAGTCGACTTAATTATAAGAACCCCAAAAGTTGAAAAGCTCAGCTTACAGCCAACAAGGAGCCAACCAGAAGAACGCCAACAAGAAGTAGGAGTAAACTTCAAAGTCCTCGGAGCCTTCGGTCTCAGGCCCGCACAATCGAACTGAATGGCAACCGAGACCAGAACCCAGACCCCCGGGAGGATCTGGAAAGTAGATCCCCGAATGTGGGGCCCTCTACTACTCAGGGTACTTTATAGGAACCCCCCTTAAGGGATCTATGTTGTGGATCCTCCCGGGGGTCTGGGAAACTGAAAAAAAAGCAGGCCCAAAATTTCGATCCCCCAAGCCCCAAGACTTTAAAGTCAACAAACCCAAAATCCCTCAGCCAGAAACCCTTAAGGGCCCCGAAGGATCCAAGACCTAGGTACTCGACTGCAGGATAGTAGTTATGTAGGTTACTATCCTGGGAGTATATGATAATTAGGTACTTGTACCCTTAGGATCAGGGATTGGGGTTTAGGGGTTGAATTGAGGGGAGCACATGATAACTAGGCACTTGGACTCTTAAGGAAAGGCCTGCTTGCTGAATGCATGCTGCATCAGCTGCCACCTGGGTTCAGGTTCCACTATAAGGCAAAACAGGTATTTCTGGTGATTGGGCTAAGCCCTACCTTGGGGTCCAAAAAAAACTTCCGTTTCGACTCTTTGGGGCCACAGGTAAACCCTAAAACCTCACACCGTTGAGCTGTGGTGATTGGGCTCAATCGGGGTTGGGGGGGACTGAGGTTCCCCAAAAGAGCCCAATGCACCTCATTCAATTAAGGAATACACCTTGAAGTAAAAAGGCTTCATACGTATTCTGGTTTACGGCTATATTCCTGCACTAAGTGGTATCGGGCTCTCTGGGTCAGCCTCACAGAAAGCAAGGGTGTTAGGGCCACACTCCATCGAAATTCGAACCCTCATTGACTGGAAGTAGCTAGAGCCCCAAATCTGACTTTACGGAAGGTAATCTTCGTCCTGAAGATTCCTGGAACACTTCCTAATCGTAGACATGCAACTGGCTGTTTGATCACTTTGCACATGGCTCAAAGCGTTGAGCACAAGTACAGTAAGAATACAAGTCCATGTCCTCTCTTTAAGAGACCTGAACCCTAAAAAAAGGAATGTTTGCCTACTCAGGGTCCTGGTAACTGTAGCTCGTATGGTGTTTCGGGAGCACAAGTCACGCAGAAGCATTGACCCTCTCGTCGATTTGCGATTGCTGGGTCAAACCTTAAGCTGAAGGTCTGAAGCCACCGAGAATGTCACCACCAAACGCACTCCACTCCACGATCACGCCAATCGCGGGACCTAGCAATACACCCTGACACAGGGATACTCCTTAAATCATATGATTAGTTGTCTAAACGAAGGCACCCTTGTAAAAGAGGACCCTAACAGGGAACCTACTAATTACCCATATGAGGGATAGATCTATAGGGATCTGAGCCTCAAAGCCAAGATCCAAAGCTGGACCCTACGCGTCTCCGAAGCCCATGCTGAAGCTGAGTTTGTTGGAGATCCACAAAGTTTTCAACAAGTTGGTCTGTAAAACAAAAATGGCTTCCTTTGGGATTCTACAAGGGCTCTGCGAAACTATAAAGTGTTGCTAAACCTTCTCGCCCCCGTCCCCTCTTCGGAAAAAGTCTTCGCCCTCGGCATTGCCCGAAACTTAGCTCCCAGGCTCGCCAGTGGGGGCACCGGGAGTCTGCTTTAAGTCGACCATGATCTGCCCGAGTGGGTTACAGGAGCGGCTTGAGGTTTAGAGCTTTAGGGCTTCAGGGCTTTGGGCTTTAGTGCTTAGTTTAGTGTTTATGGTGTTTAAGGGTTCAGGGCTCAAGGTTGTAGGATTTCGGGGCTTAAGTTGTTTTGGGGTTTCTTTAGCCGGGCATTAGGTTTCCATAACACTTTTGTGGGGTTAGGGCTGTTATACATGCTGCAATAAGATGCCGTAGAATTTAATTACAAGCCTTTTGAGCTAAACCAGACAAATTCAGAAACCCCCTCCTCCGTATGGCGATCACAGCAGGCTTACGAGTACTATAGGGCCATGTTTCATGAAAGAAGGAGTACATCATGCTCTTGGAGCATATGCTCTCAGGAAGGTGATGCACAAGAAATTTCACGCTGCCAGAAGCCGCACATGCCCGACCTCTTCCAGCGCAGAGACGAGAAAGTTCTGCAACGTCGTAGTGCAAGGACAGCCGATGCGGTGCCCAACCTGTTGGAGAAAAGGATGGTCTGTCGGAAGCTCACTTCCACGTCGGGAAGTCTGGCTGCGATGGAGACAACCCGGCCAAAACGAAGCCACTGTCTTGCGGAACACCTTTGCATGAACCCGACACAGTTGCAACTGGTCCGATCAAGCGGCATCTCATTGCCATAGCCGAAGCTGTGCGCTATCTGGCATAATTTCGACAGCCACAGCGAGCCTTTCGCTGTCACCGCAGTAGCACTTCATGCTGCTGCGTGTCGCTCTGAAGCAATCGTCTCACGTCAGCTTGCCGCCCTACACCACAGCCACAACGCCTTTAGGATTCAGCTTTCGTGTGAGCACCTACTACATCTTCCATTATAACCTAAATCAGCATAAAAGAATATGCAACATCCGCAAATCATATTCCGGATCCAAGCATAAGTGGAGCCGAAGGCCTCAAACGGTGGCATGAAGGTAGGTAGGATTAAGGATCCCTTCCAAAAGAGCTCTTGGCTCGGGATTACCCGCCTGCACTCCGGAGCTGAGGGCCCGGTGCCTTGTACAGCCGCTCCTGCTGATCCGAAGCCAAGAAACCTAACCAAACCTACTTAAAGGATCATGGGACTTAGTAACTAGGGTTATAATTAGGGTATCTATACTTATAACCACTTAGAACCCCATTAAGGTACCTATAACCTTACTTACGAAGTCCCATGATCCTCCAAGTAGCCCTAGGGACTGAGCCCCTTGGCCCAAAAACGGCTAACCTTTTCACGTATGGTAGGAGTGTATAGTCCAGTTTAGGGTTTAGGGTTTAGGGTTTAGGGTATAGTTCAACCAATAAGTAACTAAACCCCGTTGACAAATCGATGACTTACCCCAACTAGCCCTAAACTCGAAGCCCTGTTAAAGAAAGGCCTTCACGGTGTCCTCCATCATCTGCTTCACCTGAACGGACACATGCAATGTGTGGTACAGAGGACAGGTTGGCTCCTGCTGTCTAAGGGCAGGGTTGGGTTTGGGATTGAGGGTTCGGGACGTGGGCTTCAGGGTCGTGCTTGGGTCGGTTCCCATCGAGGGCTTGGAGCTTGGTTTTGGTGGATATCCTTCGATCCACATTGGGACGTCGTTCAACATTACTCTCTTCCTCCTTATATCAAACACCCCCGATAAGTTCCAGGACATCCTCCTAAAATCATCCCCGCCTGTCAACACCTATGTTGAATTAGGGGGTTTAGGAGCAAGAGCAAGACCTGGAGCAAGAGCAGGATCAAAAGACGGAGTACCCAAGATCAAGAGCAAGGGCCACAAGTAAGCAGGAGCCAGAGCACGGACAGGAGCAGGAGCAAGAGCAAGAGTCCAGGAGCAAGAGACAGAGTAGGAGCAAGATCAAGAGCTGGAGCACGAGCAAGAGCAGGAGCACGCAGGAGCTAGAGCGCCAGCAAGAGCAGGGGCAACAGAGTAAGAGCGAGATTGTCCAAAAATGGCTGTAGAGATAAAACACCACCCTGCTTAAAAAGACCGTCTTTAGAGTTTTTACTTGGTGGGGAAGGGCCTCACCGTTTTATAGGGGTCAGGGATGAAACATATTGTCATTGCCTGGGTGTATCAGCGGCTACGTATGGGGTTCAGTGCTTCGGGCAAACATAGATGTGTGTACCCTGACTATGTCGAAGAACTGGACACGAACTAGTCAGCGTTGGGCCCACTGTGCCACGGCTGTATCATGCCTAATTATATCTCTATCTGCCCAACTGGTTATCTATCTACTTGTCTTAAGACCCCACCCCGACCCCTGAAACAAAGACTCTCGGTCAATTAGCCTTGTCCTGATGGCTGTATTTTCGCGATCCACACCCATGGCATTAACCAACAACATTTGTTGATCAGCATCGTTCTTGCTGCTGTATCTTTCCCTGGGCCCAAGTTACTTACAATAATCATATACCCCCTCACATGCTGATCTAGAAAACTACAATCCTAAACACAGATATTTTACCACTGAGTTAATATGGACCCTTACGATTCCCAATTGTCCTAAACCCTAAACCTCAATCCATTTTGGGCGCGTGGCCAAAGGGCAAGTCACAGGGGTAGAGTAGTCGCAGGCCGGCGACGAGTTGACCTGCACTGCGTGGCGGCGCGTTGAAAACTGGCGCACAGAGTTTAGGGTGAGGGATACTCCAGCGATAAGTTACACACCCCAAACCCAATCCAAGACGCTAAACTTCGACCCTTAGCGTAACTGTTAACCTGAATGCAGCCGAAGTATCGAAACTCCTCACCCCCGGAGAGCCGAAAGGACTCGTAACTCCCAATCCCAAAGTTTCCTTGCAGACGCACCGTAAAACAGGGGCCTTAATAATTAGAATAGGGCTTTGGTCTCCTTTATTACAGGAACCATAAGGAGTGATATTGGTAAATCTTTAGGCTCCTACACTACTTTGCAAGAAGCCCTGAGCCGGCACTAAAAGAAGCCTGAACTCTCGATCCCAACAGCCTGCGTCCTCCAACAACCTCGAAGGAGAATCCTACTCTATCAGGGTCCAGAGGACACAGTAATTAGGTACTCGGGTGTAGGATAGTAGTTATGCAGGCTGCTACATATTTTGGAGAGTATATGACAGTTAGGTACTTGGACCCTTAGGGCAACCATGTTTTCAATAGCCTTGAACACCCCACAGCGTCCATTATTAGGAATTACTTTTATGATGTGGGGAAGTATCCCCCATAACAGTACCATAAGGACCCCTTGAAGGAACCTTACAGGTGCCCTAACACAACTCCTAGAAAGAAAGATATCCCCCATAACAGTACCTAGGACCCATTGGGCCCAAGAGTAACCAAGCAACAAAACTGGTGCCCTTTTTGGTCTAAAGGTTATCAGGGAACCTGAACCCTAAAACAGGGAAGAACGGCCTACTCTGGGCGCTAGTACCTAGGGCCCATTGGGCACATCCCAGGCCGAAGAACCCTTTAGGGCTTGTTGGATGTATCAGGTTTAGGGCTTATAAGGTTTCTTGTGGGATTCATCAGGTTTAGGGCTGCAAGGGTTTGGGGTTTAAGGAGTTTAGGGAGTTTAGGGGTTCGGGGCCTAACAGAACCCGTAAAGAAGCTTATACCATAACAGTACCTAGGGCCCATTGGGAACACCCCAGGCCTCAATGAGCCAAACATCGGGCGCTTGGCCCTGGGCGGCTTCGCCGATCTGCGCGTGGGGATGAGTGGAGGAGTCGGTTTAGGGCTTAGGGGTGAAGAGTTTGGGGTTTGGGGTTTAGGGTTTAGAGGTTTAGGGGTTCAGGGTTGAATTAGGGGTTAGAGGTTTAGGGGTTACGGTTTAGGGCTTTAGGGTGGTCATAGGTTTAGGAGTATATCCGACAGAACCACAAGATTGAAACGATGGAAATGTTGCGCCCACTTGTCAGAGCCTTGAGCACTAAAGCAATGGATCAAATGCTGTTCGGATTCCTGAGCTTCACTTCATATTCTGTCCTTATCACTGGGTGTGTTTATGCATATCACGGCTTCGTGCTTGCAGAAGTGCTGATGAAACTTCGAAGTGACAACATGTAAAGTGCCGAGTTCTCATTGGGAAGGTCCTTCACCAATGGGTGCTGCCCTTCACGGATGCACATAAATCGCACACAGCTATATGGGCGGTTGTCAAAGCTAGGGTCCTGTCCTGGGAAACAAGATCCTAAGTGTTTACATGTGTGTTTGCCGTGCTGCGTCTATGGCCTGCCGACGATGCTAGAGACTGAAATTTAATTAGCCTTGAACTGCCCATGTATCATCCGGCGCAAAAGGCAGTCCGTCTGTCTGCCTGTCGGTATGTCTGTCTCTACTGTCTGCCTCCCTCCAGAAACATGTTATAGTAAATAGTTCGGATGCCAAACATACCTATGTATGTCATGCATGCTCTCACATGCACCAAGGTTCAAATGTGTACACCTCGTAATCTACACAACCCTACGTACAAGTACACACCACACACACACATACATATATATATATATATATACACATGTATATATGTATGTATGTATGTATGCATATACATATGTATGTAAGCATATACATACATACATACATACATACATACATACATGTGTGTATAGGTATATACATACATACTTACATACATGCATACATACATACATACATACATCCATGCCTTGTTGCGTTTGGTGTACACACATACAGCTACGCATACACATGCCATGCCGATACCCATAGCCATACAATAACCCATACGGATACGGATACATGAACATACATGATGCTACTTGTGGCTCTGCTGTGTATAGTTATGTTTGTTCATTAATACGTGCACAGGTGCACAAACAGACACTAGCACAAGGCCTTGTAAGGGGGTGCCCGACACCAAGGGTTTGCACAGCTCATCTTAGGGGCTACCACAGGGGCCTTACTTGTTAGACGCGGCTTAGGGGCGTATGCTGCTGCGATGTACAGTGAGAGCATCATTCATCCAGCCTCTATAATCGCCACTACTAACGTGAATCGGTGACGCGTAATAATGTCTCTGCATCTGGCCTGAATGCTGCATGCAGTAATTACATGTAAAGCTGTGGCTTGCGTTTCACACCAGCAAAGACCGATTACGAAGTAGAAATTGAATGCCAGATGGGGCCCAAAATACAAGTATTTGGAATATTCTTTCCCTGGTTTGTCTAGAAACCACGCGCGAACGCTCAGTCCGAGAACCCCCCAATAAAACAATCACATCTGACATCTGAGCAGAGCAGTTAAAGCATTGCGGTTGCAGGAATAAGCCTAAACGCTCAACCCGAAAACCCTGAACCCAAGACCCCTAAACCCTACAATCGTAAACTGCACTTACCTCAATGCATTACGGTTCTAGTCCTGCGCCCTAAACCCTAAATCCCTCAAAGTTTCAAAGCACAAACCCCAGAAGCAAAACCGAAACCCCTAAAGGCGGCTGCGCACCATGAAGTCATAACCAAAGAGTTCGACCTCGACTGTTCATGGATGTAGTTCTACATAACTTGAAGTACCCGCGACTGGGTTTTGGCATGGTTTGGGGTCTTAGGGTACATGGCTTTAGGGGTTCAGGGCTTGGGATGCCTTAAGGTTTTAGGCTTTGTGGTTTAGGATGGTTGTGGGGTTTAGGGCTTTGGGCTTCAGGTGCAGGTTTTAGGGGTTTAGGCTTTAGGCCCTTAGGTGTTTAGGATGGTTTAGAACTTACGTTTTATGGTCCATGCAGGATTTTGTCCACCATCAGTAGGTCAGGGTTGAGGCTCTAGGGGAGTCGGCATTTAGGCTCTATGGGGCTGGACTTTTGGATGTTGAACGGAAATAACTCTACATCCGCAATGCTGCGTTTCATGGATTCAGGGCTGAGGCCTCGGGCTGCAGGACCTTGTAAGGGTTCCTTTAAGGGTTACTGTAAAGGTTCCTCTAAAGGGCTCAAAATTAGGTGTACATCTTTCCGGGTCCTTAGAATAGGGATCCTACTATTTAGGGCACTATACCTAGACCTTGAAATGTAATTACCCGCTGCGAACGACTGGGCTAGACCAAGGAGGTTGCGCAGTTCCGGGCTTTGGCTTTTAAATCATAGGGATCCTTAGGGGTGTAGGGGGGAGGGGTGTAGGGGACTATATTTCCTTAAATAGGCCTTATTAGTCCTTATTATGGGCCTTAAGGCCCCCTACCCCCCCTCCCCCTACACCCCTAGGGATCCCGATGATTACATGTAGTCGGTACCCACCGAGCCATAAGGCCTGCATAGTCCATGGCAAGGGCTTCCACGGCATAAACCCACAGACCATGCACTTTAGCTACACAACCCCCCCGGAAACCTTAAACCCCATAAACCCGAAGCCCTAAACTCCAGGACCGATAAGGGAGAAGAGTCCTTGGAGTCCGCATCTCCCGCACAATAATCCATAACTCGGTCGGTTTCAGGACCGAGTGTGGAGGCTGCTTCAGAGCAATGCAACCGCCTTCATGATTATTATACTGTAGTTTAGTATAACAGAATATGTCATAACATACCATAACCAATGTAGCACAATATACCATGTCATAGCCAACATTACACTACATGCCATAGCATAGTGTAGCAGAACAAAAAACGCAACATTGTCATAGCACAACATCGCACAACATAGCAGGAAATAACATAAGACTACGTCACATTACATAACATGTCTTGACTGTATATCTATATATATTTATATATATATATATATACACATGTACGTATGTATACATATATATATATATATATATATATATATATGTATATGAAGACATATTGAACGATAAAACAACATAAAACACGACAATACACCAGAGTATACATATATATATATATATATATATATATATATATATATATATATACACATAAGCGGTGTGCGCACGTGTTCTGCTACCATCATGTAGGGACCGTAATAGAGTGCACGATTGCTGAACCTACTTATTCCGACCTCCAGCGCGGACTGAGCAACCACGCCGAACCCTTGCGATGCTGGATGCCATCGACGACGCTCATCAACGACCTGGCTCCATTGGAACGGCAGTCGGCTTGAATCGCGAAGTCCATACACCCAAATCCGCACTGAACTGACTCATCCCTGGTCCTTCAACTGAAACTCTAGCAATCATGTGATACTTGTTCCGCTATACCTGATCCTGCGAACTAACTCAGGAGACCGGAACCGTGAACCGTACAGAAGCTGAGGATCAAGACAAGACCGTGGCAGCATCTAGGACCAGAGAGCATTTTCCCCTGGAACCTGTACCCGAAACACATACCTTTTACATGTATTTGTAAACCATACGTAGTTGCACGTGTATATATATATACACACATACATACAAACATACATACATACATACACACACACACACACTCACCCCCTAGGTCCGGAATAGCACTTCAGAAGGGTCTGCTCTGCGGGTAGGACCGTCTGGAAAACAAACCATGAATCATGCAAGCCATCAAAAACATAATTGAAGGGTTGGGCTTGTGGTTAGCCAATGCTGGCCTCAGAGGCAACCCAGATAACTCAATACAGACACCTTGAGATATTGCCTTTTGAGAATGGGGCTGTGGCTATAGTATGGCATAATTAAACTATATTTCGGTATCATACGCGCATGTTGTTACTGACTTTCCTTCCCAGAACTTATGCATTCGCACCAGATGATGATGTTCTCCATCTGCTTTCTGATGCCGTCCCAGAGGTTCACGCAGGGATCCTTGCGCACAGATGTGATGTGTTTGTATGGGTAGAGGGGCAAAGATCAAGCAAACTTAGCAAGCTTTCACAAACACGTGGAACGACATAATAAGGGCCTTTAGTATATATAAGCTTATATGTGTACATGTGTGTATCAGGATTTGGGGTACGTCTTGCCTTTATCGACAGGAAGTCCTTCAAGATCTCACGTCGCAATGGCTGAGTGAACTTCAAGGAGATATATAGGAATGGCACGAAAGGCTCCTTGCACTTTTTCAAGCTGCTGCACACACAAGGACCTCGAAGAGAACATTACAGTAAACGAGCGTAAACCGGAAGCTGATTACGAATGGCTGAGGCTTTACAGATTCTGTTTGACACTGTGGGGTTTAGGGTTTAGGGCTTCGCTGGTTCAGGGCTTTTAGGGCTGGGCAGTTGTGCTGAGACCCCAGCCACACTGGTGTCATCGTCACCGACGTGCTGCCCTTTTCTGCCTCACAGGATACTCCAATCCGAAGCCCCGAAGCCCGAAACAGAAAGACTAACCGCTTCCGTGGGGGGAAAAGGGGCGGAAGGAAGTCAAGCTATGCTCGGTGTAGGGCTGAGGGGCACGTCACGTCTGAGCTTAGAACCATCAGAATACCTGCACCTAGACCCTATTGCTTTCTTGGACAACAGTAGATGTGGTGAGGATCCTACAATGAGAGAATTAGGTGGTAACCACAACAGCACTGCAATGCAGGGTCAAGACAAATCTGGCTTCGATTGAAGTATTGCTGTTTCTGGGTTCGGCGATAACTCCTGCCGAGCGTGCTTTGCTTTTTTAGTTCAAACAGGCTGTGGTTGCATGCCCTGCTGCCCTTGTACACCTTCAAGGACCCCTTACAGGAACCCTACCTCCTAAATCCTAAATCCTCCAAAGAAACCTGGTAGTAACCCTTAGACACCTTAGAGGAGCAACCCTAAACCCTAAACCGGAGCCCTTAATGGAACCCGGAAGCCTCTCGAAACCCTGCGCAGTCTTGCCTGGGAAGTCGTCCCCCGACGAGCCGACCTTGCAGCGCGACACGAACCTAAACCCCTACCTTAACCCCGAATAACCTACCATTTTAAGGACTTGTATAAGGAAATCATGATAACGAGCCTTAAAAAGGTAGGTTATTCAGGGTTAAGGTAAACCCTAAACCTTGAACCGAACTTCAGGCTTGAGGTGTTTAGGTTTAGGGCTCAAGGTTTATGAGGGAGTGGGGTGTAAGTAAGGTTTTCTTAGGGCCTTCTACAGTTTTCTGGGTTTGTGTATATGGTATAGGGTTTGTAGGGCTTAAAAGGGTGTCATGATGTTCACTAAATAGCGTTTTGCCAGATGCTGGGGTGTGTTTCTTAACATGGTCTTGCAGGGTGCGATATAAGGGTCTCACAAGTCACAACAGATTTTTTGGAGGGTGCCTTGCGAGAGAGAGAGAGAGCTCAAACGTCCTCCCAACAGGGAACCCGGCCAACGCGCAAATCCTCAATCCCAAACCTCAACGCTGAATGTTAGATACTGAGAGCACCCAAGGCTAAGATGTCCTTTACAGAACTAATTAAGGCCCTTGTCAAAATGCCACAGCCGTAACCCAAAAGAGCCCGAAAGAAGTAACCGCAAGATCAGAAGTACTCGAATCGTGCACACACATATACATATATATATATATATATATGTATGTATAGTATACGTGTATATATATATATATATATATATATACACATACACACATATGCATATACTTCGATCATACATGGTGTTGATCAGCGAGGTGTAGTTTGGGTTGGGGTAAGGGTCCCCTACCCCCCTCCCCCCTACTCCCCAAGGGTACCTATGCGGGGCCCCTAGATCCTAACGCACCCGTAAGCCGTGTAAGATCCCTAAATTCTGAATCCTGAGTCCCCCATAGGTGAAGCCCTGAACCGTAAACCCCCAAAACCTAAACCACTAGACCACTAAACCCTAAACCCCTAAACACTAAACCCCTAAACCCCAATCCACTAAACCACTAAACCCGTAAACCCTAATCCACTAAACCCTACACCCCTAAACCCCTAAACACCAAGCCCTACTCCACGAAACCCTCATCAGCAGAAGGGCCCCGGCAGTCGGGTTGGCATCGGGCTCTTCGCAGGATGGCTCGTCGACCTGGCTGCCATAATGTAGCGGCCGTCACTACGGTTGATGATATGGTAGTTTCCGAAAATAGGGGACTCTAATACAGTACCCTAAATAGTAGGATCCTTATTATAAGGACCCAAACTAAGGTACCCCGAATTTTCGGAAGCTCCCATATAAATCCTGCATTACCTTAAGGACCCTACACTATGCGAATTATGGAATATTCCTTACTATGGGTAATGCAGGGCTTATATCATCAACAGTGTACACCCTAAAACCAAACCCTAAACCCTAAACCCCCGAACCCTAAACCAAGCATATACAGAACTACGGAAGCTTGTGCTCTCAATCCACAAGACTTGCCCCCACCTCCCAAAACCAAAACGACATCACCTCCGCCCTGAGCCGTGGACCCTAAACCCTATAAACCTCGAAGACCTAAACCCCTAAAGCCGTAATCCGTAATACCTAGACCCTAAACCCCGGAACCCCAAACTCGAAGCCCGTATGAAAACCACAAGCCCAAAAACCCTGGACCCTAAACTCTAAACCCTTATGAAAACCACAAGCCAAAAACACAAAAAACAAAAACGAAAAGCCCCATATCCCTACAGTCCCTGAAGCCTAGCTCTAACCTGCGGCGCCTGCACATCGATGCCCTCCTCCCCGTCGGAGACGCTGCCGGGCGATCTCGGAGAGCCTGTGCATTTGCTTCCTTTGTGAGGTTTCGGGCATGGGGCTTCGGGTCTGTAGGGTTTATCGTTGCATGTATTTCGCTCCATGAGTTTAGGTTTCGGGTTTCGAGAAGAAAACACACAGGCACTTATGCCAAAGCATAGAAATACGCACATGTGTATGTGTTGTATATATATATATATATATATGTATATATATATATACATATGTATATATATATATATACATACATATATATATATACATATATATATATATATATGTCGTGATAAGGACACCCAGGGAAGAGTAGCAAGTGTTATATCCAAGCCCATTTTACTATGTGGCACTGCGTGAGGACAGATGAAGCTTCCATGTGCTGGGAACGTATTCGGGTTTCACGTCTCGGCACCTGACACGTCCCCTCAGGCTCAAAATAGCCCGAAAAGCCTTATATAGCATGGTCTTTGGGGCCAAAAGCCTTAAAGTATGTGGAGCCGGTCAGTTTTCTTCCATGAACCCGAAACCACAAATCCGAAACCTAATATCCTCAGTTCCGTTGCCTGTAGAGTCCGCCGAAGAAGGCGCCGCAGCCGAGGCCTCCGTGGCTTCCGCCGTGGGCCTTGGCTGAAGTCGAGTCTGAGGGCTTTGGGCTTTCAGAGTTAAGGGTTTAGGGTTTCGGGATTAGAGCTAGGGGTTTAGAGTATAAGCGGCTTTTCAGCGATATTGAAGGGTCTTAGCATTCATGGCTGAGGGCTCCAGGGCTTTAAAATGGCGCTTCATTTGTTGGGTCTTTAGGACTGGGGCTTGATGGTGCTTTGCGCTACTTTATTTCTTGCGTATTAGACTTGAGGGTCTGATAACGATTTCGGGCTAGCGGCTTAAGGTGCACTATTCGGCTTCTGATTTTCATGGGTTTTATGGGGCTGGGTTGGTTTTGGGTAAGGTGCTCTCTTAAATTGGGGCGAGGCTAATGTTGGCTTCGGGGCCGGCTTTTGTTGCAGGCCACTGCACGGCCTTAGGGATTGATGACTTACCACTATGGGCTATTAGACCTTGTGGGTACCTTAATCTACCCTTAACAGGGTCCGAATAGGGATCTTTAGGGTCTAATAGCCCATAGTGGTACAGGCCTATACTGGCTTCAAATTTTGCTTGGTTTAGGGCCTTGGTTCGGAGGGTTGCGGGCTTCAGGGTTGTAGGGAAAGAAGGCTCGGGCAAGAGGTAGGGCGAAGGGTTTAGGGTAAGTGGCGATGAGAACATGTTTGTATCCGTAGATTTAGCATCTTTGGATTCTTGGTGCTTTGGGTACTTTGCTCACGGGCTCCACAAGTATCGGAAGTGGAAGCTAAACTGGCACCTGGACTCCAAACCGTGAACCAAAGGAATCATGTATGTTTCCTTCAGAGTCTGGGGTTCAATTTGAAGGTTTTGGATTTAGGGCCCGCCATCCACAAGAGCCCTGTAGCACCCTGAAGAAAGAAACCCTACACGAATCCATAGCTGACCATGATTCAATGAACCTTGATGTCAGACTCCTGAGCCTAAACCCCGAAGCTAAACCGAAAGCCCCAAACAGCCCAAAAGCGACATCCCTCATCCCCGTGTTCATCTATATTACTATGCGGTCAGGCTCCAACCGGTGTGTATTGGTAGTTGTGTAAGCCTCTCTATAATTATAACTCCTATATGTATTCGATTACATTATAGCTGAACGTTGTTCTTTCGAGAAGCTCATCCTCGGTAGCCCTTTCGGCTGGCACTTCCGGAGGATCGGCGCCCTGGGGAAGCGTCGCTTTTGAGGCGTTGCTTAGTCTTAGGGTTTAGGGTTTAGGTGTCTGGGTTGTGGTTGTTCTACTTTTGCTTGTTATGTGTGTGTGTGTGTGTGTGTGTGTGTGTTCGTCTTTTTGGGCTTTTGGTTGTTATCAGTTTGGTTGTTGCTGGTATAGGGCTGTTGGTGTTGCTAATCAATGCTGTTTGGCGGTAAGGTAAAGGGTTTGGGGAAGGATTTTTTCAACTCCAAGGTTGAAGACAGAGGGTTTGAGGCTCGGGGTTGGAGGTCCAAGGCATCTCACGGTTACGCCTGTAATTAAGGGCTCTAAACACTTGAATACAGTGTAAGTCCAACGAGCCTCCATCCCTCCATCGCGAAAGCATTGCCTTGAGCCACGTTTTAGGGTTTAGGGTTTCCCTTCAACCCAAAACCCAAAAGCCTTGAAACCTAAACTCCGGTTGCATTTGCCGGAACACATCAACACCAGCAACCAGAAACCACCTTGGGAAGGCTTGAACCTCAAAGCCCGAAAGCATGGACGCCGACCCAGCGGTTTGGGCCTTAGGGCTGCGCGCTTGGGGTTCAGAGTTTACCTGGTGATCCAAAAACTCTACTGTTTTAAGGGTTATACCCTCTAACTGAAGGGGCATAACCTACTACTAGGCAGGGTTTGGGAATACAGCTAGGGTTTAGGAGGAGGAAACGGCATGGTTGGATAGAACCCGGGTTTAAGAAACGTGCAAAACTTTGCTCAAGCCCTAAACCCTGAACACTACAAACCCGGAGCTCTAAAAACCTTAGTTACCAAAAGAACACCAAGCCCTGCAACTGTACACAACTGCCTAAACTCCGAAACCCTAGACCCCAACACCCCAAAACAGCAAAAACACAACAACAAAAAAAGGCCCTCAAAAATCCCTGAACCCTAAAAGCCCTAAACCCTAAGAAACGTCTGCACGGAAACAAAGGGATAACCCCACCTCGTCCTCAGATTCTTCCTCTTTGGCCGTGAACTTCACATCCTCCAGCGATCCCATATATGATGTCGGGTTTAACGGCTTGAGATTTAGGATGTGGGATTTAGGGTTCAGGGTGCAGAATTGAAGGGGTTGGGTTTGGCATGTAAGCTTTAAGGCTGCGCCCTAACACCGTCACATGATTTGAGCTTGTGGGATATCGGTGCGATTACAGGGTTACGGTACTGGGAGTTTGGGTTGAGTACTTTAGTTCAGGGTCTGAGTCAGGAAGTGCATAGTCCATGGTTTAGCTGTTCGAAGGTCCTGGTTTTCTCGGTGTGTCGGATTGACCCTTCCCTAAAAATCACATGCCCTGCTTGGAGGTTCATGGGTAGTTATAAGTGCAGTTATAAGTGGGGGTAAATATAGTTATGACCCATGTTAGAGGACTTATAACTCCAGTTAAAAACTACCCATGAACCTCCAAATGCCATTAGTGCGAAAAGCACGTGCTCGGAGCAGCTCCTGATACAGGCTGCCTGGCGCAAGGGAGCTGGGAACAGCGAAGGCTTTCCGACGTTTCTGGTTAAACCATACATAGGCACCTCTCCTCTGTCGGCTGCACCCTTTCAGCCCCTACAAGCCCTAATCCCTCAACAGCTCTCTAAGCCCTGGAACAGCCCTAAACCATAAACCCCAAGCGAAAACCTAGCTCGAATCCAAACAGATCCTTCGAGGAACCCCTTAAAATAAGTCCGAAGGCCCCACCTGAAAGGACTGAGGTCCCAGCCTGGACCTACAAAAACACCTACACCCTGAACCCTGATGGCCTCCCAGCGCACCCCGAAGGTTTCGCAGGTGTAGGGCGGCGGCCTCGGCTAGTAGTAGCCTTCTCATATCTCAACAAGCCTGCTGCTTCGCTACGCTTGAGGACAGGCAAGCAAGGGACCTCAACAACCTCCACATGCAGGCATGTTTTGCAGCTGTTGTGGCCTTTGCAATCAGACGCTCCATGTGTACCTTCACCTGTGCAGGCACCTCTTTGGAGCCATGCCAAGTGCGGAGGTCTAGGAAGAACTCTTGCTGCCAGGCATACTTCTGCTTGGTGCCGTTCTTCTTTGGAAGAGACCACGGCGGGTGCAAATAGAGAGTGCAGGACCTGCTAGCCACCAAGCCTCGCTGCACCAATTCGGAAATGGGAATCAGAAAGACACCTTGCAGCTGCCCCTCGTGCAGGATACAGGCGGCAAGCAGGTCAAAGTCGTCCTTGTCATACGGCAAAGGTCCAAGCGAGCCTCCGTTCTTCCGCAAGCATATATGATACCTGCCCAGAGTCTCATGGAAATTTGATGCCTTCTCTTGCAGGCGCAACATCGGACCCTCGATGTCAACCTCGAGAAGGGCGTCGACCGCCGACAGATGTTGGGGAGGACAGGTCAAGCTCCACTCCATGCGGCTAAACAACTTCATGAGCTGCCGATGTGCGACTGCCTCAACTCTGCAATTGGGGGAGCACTGGACCTCTGCCTCTTCAACTGATATGTGGGGAAACTTCTGTGTGTTCTTGAAGCAAGCAGCCAAATAGGACCCGATGTTCTCAACACGGCGATTAGTGTCACTCCCGCAGCCGATGGTTATGCCCAGATGATCAACGGCAAGTTTCTCGCCGGCTGCCGCCCACAGGTGGCCACCGTCCAGTGCGACAAGCACCACCAGCATGCGATCGTATCCCAGCAGGCGATTAAATCGAAACACTCGTCCTTGCTTCCACTGGCTAGTTGCTGCCTTGAGCTGAATCGGCAAACCAGTCTGTGTCGAGCCACGACGCTTGAACAGAGCATCTGCTCTGGAAGACCCCGTCAAGCGCTCGAGCTCGTACTTCTCTGAATGAGGTGACGTGTCCGAGGCCGCCTTCAACAGCTCGAAGGATCTGGCCTCCTTGCGGTGGCTGCAGCCGCCTTGTTTAAGACCACGTGTGCGTGCCTGCTCAGGTGATTCAGTATAGGCGGCTTCCTTCTCCGAGGGAAAGTTCAAGTGCCTTTTGCAACGCAACTCATGATCTGCAGTGGGTTTTGGATATCTGCATCTCACTGCTTGATCATAAGCCTCAGCGGCTTCTTTGGCACTTTGGAAGCAGCCAATGTAGCCCGGACCGTCGAGAACATGCAGCGCCGCCACGAAGGCACGATTTCGCTTGTTATAATACACGCCACGATACTTCGCGGCCTGGGCTCTGGCCGCAGCCTCGTGGTGGGGCACATGGGCAGAAGCTTTCAGAAGCCTGGCCAGTACCGGGAGAAGCACCACCCAGGCCGACACAAGCGCAAACCAGCTTGTCAAATGGTGGGGCGGCATGCTGGCTTCCACCTCCGCTGTCAGCAGGCAGCATGTGGATCACATCGAAAATCCGCCATGCAGGCGCATATCGACCCACACTTCGTTCCCCTTTCTACCAGATTTGCGCAAGGAGCTGCAATTGCAAGCGCTGTGGTGCTTTCGATGAAACAGGAAGTCGACTGGGGCTTTGGTGCATATTATAGAATGACTACAATAAGGATGCCTTATGAAGAGTCTGTAGTATGAGAGAAGGCTTCAGGGTTCTATAGTTGGAAAATCTTCGGGTCTTAGGTTGTCTTAAGGGTTCATAGGGTCAATCCTTTTTGTGGGGTTCTTTGTCAAGTTCCTGTCTGGGTTCCACAACTCATTCTAGATCTTTTCGGTTCCTTTACAGGTTCCTTGAAGGGTCCCTTTGAGGGTACTTTGGGGCTCTTCGATGGTCTTGGCATTAGCCGGGGTTTCTGCCTCGAAGACTTACACATTGCTGTAGTTGCTATGGGTGGAGTGTCCGGACCCTACCTCCGGCAATGAGCATCTGCAGTTACCTGTATACGACCGTCATCTAGGAGGTTACGTATCAGCAATCTGCTTTATTGGTGCTTGTTCAGGGATGAATAAACAGCACCTTGGCAGGTCTTGTCATCAAAGCGTACCTTTCAAGCTTTCTGATACGTGTACATAGATGTATATATATATATACAAATATATATATATATATATATATATATATATATATGTATATGTATATATATACATATATATACACGTCATTTCGATATACAAACATGTACAAAAATGTGTGTGTATGTGTATATAGGTATGTAGGTCTAAAATTTCGTATGTAGGTATGTATATGTATATGTCTTCGTCCATGCATCTGTATTGGTATATGTACCTTCATATGTACATAGAGAGAGAGGACTCACATGTTAGCTTATATGTGGATGTATCTATATCATATATATAGAACTACATACAAACACATTAGTTTCAAATGTAAATGCACAATACCTACGTGCTTTTATATTTGCACTTCAACTTATACATATATAGTATACGCATAATATGGTTTGTATTCTTCTGGTCACGTTTGTACAAATTGACATACACCCATACATACATACATACATACATACATACATACATGCATGCGTACATACGTAGCTGCATTCATACGTACATACATACCTGTACAGACCCCTGTCTGGGACCTCAATAAGGGGCACCATGTGAGGCAATCTATGGACGGAGTTTCTCGGCTCAACTCAGACTAATGTAGGGCTCGGTAAAATTTGCACGTATAGTCAGTCGATGATGGTTCATCTATGCTACACACGCCGAAGCACTATTCTGGTTATCCTGGCCCCACGACTACCGACTCCATGATTGGAAGCCAAAGCGGTTTAACAAGTGTGACTTGGATTCCTTTTGTATGCATCCTCAGCGTGTGGCTCCTAAACCTTCGGAAGAACACGAATCACTTTACCCCCCCCCCCCCTGGTTTGTGTTTTGAGACTTCCTTGCCAGGCGGCTTGAGAAAGGGCGTGCGGTGCTTCTCACAGGTGCAGTAACGCGCATGCAGCCACTCCTCTGCGACTCTTGTGCCACCACGCTTTGCTCGACTCATGCTCTCCAGGTTTTGCAAGTATAGGGAATCACAGCGCAAGTCAGTCCAAAGCCATATTCCAAACTTCAGGGGTGTACTTAAAACTTTAAATCCTGCCCTACAGGAGTTCGCTTTAGATGATGACCTCATTCAGGCTCCCTTTGAAATGTTGGAATTGGGAAACTCGGATAAGTTGTTTAGGGTTGCACATCAAGAGAAACATTTCGAAGCTCTAAGGTTTGCGGAGTTTAGGGATTGCAGCGTCTAGGCTACGAAGACCGGAGAATTTCTGGGTTTCGCGAGTTTTGACATTATTGTGAGTGCAGAGTGTCCGCGTCCTAGAGCTACGGTCAAAAGGGCCGGCCGTCTCCTCGTACTGCTGGCGAAACCACATGTAGCCATTCGCATTGAGGTCCTGGTGGCTGTGGACTTAATACAGTCTTTAGGGGTTTTTTCGGAGCCCGAAATCCAAGACTCAAAAAGATAGAAGACTTCAAACATTTAGCCAGCCCGGCTCACTGTTCCAGCCGCGTGTCTAGGCTGTTAGATCTCAGATTCTGGATGTAATATGGGGGGCGTAAATAATTACCAATACTATTGCGGAGGTTCGTTCTTATGATTACAATATCTTATGCCCCAAAACCCTATTCTAGTTATCAACCGGCCCCATATTAAGCTTGAGCCGACGCAGGCGGACAAAGCCTGTTGTTATTTGAGAGTCTGGAGATGCATTTTGGGGGGCTGAGATAATGGAAGGCTCTTGCCATGCTTGTCAGGAGCAATTACACAGCCGCCTCTAAACATGGCATTGGCCTGACGCTTCAGTACTTGACACATGGACACTGCGCAACAACTCGACAGTGACTGCGTGTTGAAATCTCAGTGGTATTCTCAGACGAGAATTGCTTTGCAGGTGGCCAGCCGGGAAAGGCTGGACATCCGGCACCAAGCTTTCCGAAGATCCCCCAAACCTCAAGCGCATCCTTGTTGGGGTTACTTCTCGTCCCTTCTCGTTGAAGCATGGGATTTGAGTACACAGCTTTAGGTCTCAGGGTGGAGGACTTTGAACCATAAGCTTTGGGCTTGTGGCCCAGGCTTCTGCGTCTTAGGGTTCATGGCGTCGATGTGGGGCTTACATGCAAGAACATACCGAACCTTCTTCTGACCCTAGCGGCCTGACCCCTAAATGCGAAACCCTGTTATTGGGTTACATGATTAATCAAAACAGCTTTTTTAAAGCCAAACAGTCCTCGTTTTTCTCCTGGAAGCCATCCATGTGCTTGATGATCGAGTTGTTGACAAGGTGAACGAACCTGCTGCATGATGCCCTGATAAGCGGTGAGCAGCAACAGGCTCAAACCTTATCGCTGACCTGAAACTTGAAAAAAAACGAAACGAGCCTGATGCCGCAACTCTATGCCCTAAACAGAATTGTCGGGCACTATTTGCTGAGGCAGGGGCACGCCATGAGAGTTTGAGGGTGAACAAATGATGATGCACTAGTGTCGCTATTATTACGTGCACAGTGTGGCTATTGGAAAATTATACATGGTCATCAGACAGTACCTCGAGACGAGAGTTCCTATGCAAATGTGCAATCCCGTTCGGGGTTCAGGGTCTAGGGTTTCGGGTTTGGGGTTCGGGGCTTCGGCGGTAAAGGCACAGCTCCGGATTCCCAAGACGATGCTCCCCCGCTTGTTGGTGTCGCTGGTGTGAAGCTCCCATTTTTTCCGCGCGCACAGCCAGATTTCCGACCACGGCTGTGTTTTATTTTCAATTCAATGCCGGCAAGGAAGGACTCCTGTTGCCATGAAGGCTGTGAATGTGAAAGGTGATTATGGGCTTGGCTTTCGTTTGGGAAACCCCAAATCTCGTTTTCTCGAGCCGCCGCATCGGCACCTCGGTCAAATCCTTCTGTTCGTAGCGAAGCTGAACCCCAGTGCGAAACCGTGGGTCCTAAACCCTAAACTCCAAACCCTAAACTTTGCGAGTATACCTCGACGAACATCGTCTCGGCGACGGCTGGGTTGCAGTTTAGGCATTCGGGGTTTGGGGTTGAGGGCGTTGAATCTTAAGCCCAAACCCCCAATCCGCGACAGGAGCCCGAAAATCCAAGCTGCGGAGTAGATGCAACCATCATATCTCGAGCCGCAGCATGTAAGAATCCCCAAACACTGAACCCTGAATCCCTGCAAGAGCACCAAAAAAAAGGAACTCCTGCACACCAAACCCCTAAGTCCGAAACGCTAGTTGCTCCCAGTTTTGGGCGCACTCACTCCGGTCCGACAGGGTCTCGTCATACTTCTGACCAGCGAAGCGCAGATACGGCTGATTCCTGAGCTTCTTGCTTTCGTGCTTTGGGTCTCGGGGTTTGGGAAGTTTAGGGTTGGATTTAAGGCTCCTGGTGTACTCGGAGGGACTTTGCATCGATTGAGACCGACCGCTCTCAGCTATTGTCACCTGACTTCTTCCCTGTCTCACAGCTGCCTCTGAGTGCAGCCAAGTTGTCCTATTTTTGCGACTGTGTGGTTGGGGTTGTTGGTTGTAGCAGCTGTCTGTATCCCCAAACCCTACAACATGGATATGACCCCTTAAATATACGGTTGTAAAGCTGTAAACCATAGGTTTGGGATCCCCAAGTACAGCAGTGTTTAGACTTGAGGGTTGTCGGGGTGCTTGAGGTGCACAGGATCACATCGTCAGGCTTGTTTGGGGCTTGTGGGGTTCAGGCTTAGCACTGACGGTTTTGGAGTCCTGACCTTTTGGCCCGATTAGACACCTCGAACCCCATTGCACCAATGATGGCAAATGAAGATGAGAGCATTGATGATCCGAGATCGATCCTCGCTTCGGCGAAACAAGACCTTCTGAAAATTCAACATGATGCCCTAAACCTGAAAACGTTTGGAAGTCAACATTCTGCCTGGGTCCCATACAAGTTACATAAGGAAACCCAGTAAGCAGCCCTACAAAGGTAGGTTATTTGGGGTTAAGGTAAGGTATCACGACTTGAGCTTAACACACGTGGGTTCTGTATGTGCTGCTATGACTTGCGGAGAGCTCGAGGCGCCTTGTCTGGATCAATGAAATCAACAGGACCCTTTAAGGGGCGTATGTTCGATGGGGTCTCGGGTACCATCACAAGGATCTATAGCAAGCAATATTCAAACTTTTGCAACGGATTCCAGGGCCTAGACTAGGGGCTGCGTGCAACGAACCACAGTAGGCTGCAACTTTTTGCGCTTGAACTCAAGACTTCTGCAGTAAGTGCGTTTGACGAGGTCTGCATGTTCGTGTGACATGAATGACCAGTCCTATAGACAGCAAGTCGATTCAAGTACTACATACAGACTCAACATGAACGGCACGTCAACACGGCGAGGTGACTTTCACAAAACTATTCTTAAAAGGTCTACCATGGATCTTGGTCTTTGTTCAATTATGTTCGCCGGGCCCAAAGTGTCCAAAGTACCACTGCACTACGGTAAGTTCCACTATAATAGGTACTTTGTAGATATTTGGGCCCAACAGTATGTGGGTAGTTCTCCAAATTGTGGTCCCTGTCTTGGAATCCTTGCCATAAGGGTGTCGCCCTATCCTTGGGACGTGAAGAGGGATCTTGATTTAGGGAAATGTTCATGTACTATACTATCGCTTGGACCCTTTGGCGAGTGTGACCCAAGGCTGCGGCCAGATGTAGACGGTCAGAGGGTTCCAATCCGTGACAAGGACCTCGCGCCCAAAACCCATCGAAAGAACTCTCACAGGTGCCGCTTACGCAAACGAAGCCCTAAGCAACCATCGTCAGAACTCTTATAAGCCTAGAGCACGGTTTAGGTCTTGAGGGTTTATGTAGGGTTTCTCAGGGATTTGAGTTCATGCTTTGGGATTCATGATTGCGGCTTTAGTCTTTAGGGCTTTGTCGAGGGGTTCAGTGTTTCGGGGTTTGGGGGCTGCTTCTTCTGCACTCCTGACAAGGAAGGTAGGCCCAGAGTTGAGTTCATCCTGTGCGCTGTATTAGAGTGACTAAAAGGGTGCTGCTGGGGCGCTTTACCCAAAGGGTCCAAGTATCATTATGGTATATACTTATAGGGTATTTTGGCGGTCTATATATCTATATATATATATATATATATACCATAATGATACTTGGACCCTTTGGGCTAGTAACTAAGCTTCGATAAGGACGCTCGATGCTCCTGGACGAGGGCTCTCGACGGGCTCTTTCAGGGGCACTACACACTGTTCGCTCGATAAGGCTGAAGTCTTCGAATACCTGTATCCCAAAACCCTACAAAATACTGTGTTATGAACCCTTAAAAACGGGGTATTAGGTTTTGGGATCCACAGGTTGTGCCCAGTCGAATTCCGGAAATCTCAGTGTTTAGGGTTAGGGTTTTGTAGCTTAGGGTTCAAGGCTTACGGGGTTTAGGGTTTAGGACCGTTTAGTGCTTTTAGAGGCTCAAGGTTTTTCAATAATCGTAGGCACCTTATAGAACCCCTGTTGTCCATAATCTCTGACACTGGGGCATCGAAAGCGTTTTGGGGTCTGGCCTTTAGCATTCAGGGAGCGCTAGAAACATGCTAGGAATTCTGCTACTCCATTACAACCACTTGTTTCACCGCAGGTGCAGGTTAAAATACATCTGTATACATATGATCATATGTATGTAGACGCATGTGCCAGATATTGTCTAAGGACACCATAGTGGCAACCCCATGCACTTGCATTTGAACTTCTGCTATCTCATATATCTGGCAAAACCCGAGCCTCTTTTGAATGAATGCGGCACCTAGACCCCGAAACACTAGTCCATGGTTGGGGTAATACTAGAAAATTAGAATGCTATTCATTCTTGGGTTTGAATACCCATGCGACTGCATAATGTTACCCTTCAAAGAGCCCTTAACCCAAAATCCTTATCACTCCAACCGTTCAATCCCCAACCCTAAGCTGCCTCAACTGCAAAGCCCTCGAAGCTTGCGCCTTCAAACCCTCAACTCCCACGCACAAAACACAAGACAGATACACCTTCAAATGTGCGTTGAGGGACTTTTTTGAGAAATGGAGGGGGTTAGGAGTGTGGGCTTCCGTTTCAGGCTTGGGGGGTTTCTCGCTGTGGCGCCGAGTTTAACTTGCAGGTCTTTTCGGGCGACGCTCTCTCCTTTGGAGAAGGCAGGACCAAAATTCAAAACAAATTGATGGAGTCGCAGCGGCAGTCGCCATGTAAGCCCCTGAAGCCGAACCACCAGAAGGCACTTCACTAACCTACGATGCAATCCACATCCGAAGAGCAACAGCCCACAACCCGATGCCTGAACTCCCCTGACTAAACCAAAACTCCTAGCAGCTAAAAGAATAGAGCCCATGCCTGCAGGACCTTCAGTGAATTCAAGCCTGAATTTGTGGGTATAGTCTACATATGATTCGGGACTAACTTGAGGGTCGGAGTAGTTGTTGTCATGCCGCAGGTATAGGAGAACACACACGAAGCCTAAAACCCGCAACATAAAGACCTGTACGATTAGAATACTACTCCCTTATGGGCTATGGTCCAGACATGATTATGCGACCATGTGTCTCGACACTCCTTCGCAATCCTCTAAACTACGGATTCAAAGCCCTATTACGGCTTCAGCAGCAAGCCCATCCGGCGATGAAGTTCAGCGACGGACTGAATGTCCACAACGGGCGTTCCCAGCCTCACCTCCTCAGAAATGTGCAGCTTATAGGGTTCACCCTGAACTAGCAAAACCTACTCACTTGTAGGGTCCTTATACATCAAGGACCGGGATTTAGAACAAGAGCCTACAAATAATGTAGGTTGTGGCTTTAAAGATGTTGGCTTAGCTTTCGGCGTTCCTTCAAGGCTTCCTTTCAGGATTGCGGGTTCCCTTACGGGCTCCTTTCAGGGTCTCAAGAGGCGTTACACTGTACGTCTTGCAACTAAACCAGTTCAGGGCTCCGGGTTTAAGCCTTGAGCTGGCGAGTCACAGTGCAGTCCAAGTTATGGCTGTAAACCCCAACATTGTGAAGGGCAGAACCCACATTCTTCCCCTAAGGGTCCAAGCACCGAATTGTCATATACTCTGGCAAATAGTGACCTACATAACTACTATCCTAAACTCCAGTACCTAATCATTGGGTGCTTTGGACCCTTATAGTACCCTTATAGTATCCCTTATACTAGCCCCTTATAGACCCCTTTAAAGGAACCCTAATTATTGGGACGGTTCCACAAAGGCTGATCGACCCTGAAGCCCTAAACCCGACACTGCCAACCCTAAAACCCCATCAATCCTCAACTCATAGGAGGCCAAAAGGGGTTTTAGCCTATGGGGGTTTAGTAGGGATTAGGGTTCCCATAATCAGGTTCATATTAAGGAATCCCTGCCCAAGAATCTTAAACCCCCCTTGTGGCCTCCATTATCAAAGACTGAACAAGGTCCCTCGGCAGGGCAGTCTTTGGGCGAAGGCTCTTGAAGAACCGGCAGAGATCCAAGTGCCCGGATGAAGTCAGTGCCCACGGCATCATCCGTATTCCTTACATCTTCCAAGAGCTTCGGATTCTGGTTTCGGGCAGGGGTTCGTCCGACCTCCTTATCCTCCAAGCGTTGCAGGGCTCACAGAGGATGCGTGTCTGTGTGTGTGCGCGTGTGTGTGTGCGTCTGCGGGCGTGTGTGTCTGTGTCTGTGTGTCTGCGTGTCTGGAACCCCTACAACCCTGAGTCTTACCGAAAAGCTTCCAAGGCTCGTGCCCAGCAGTATAACGCTTGCGGCTTCCAGTGACAAGTTGGAGGCAAGGGCTTCTGCCACGGTCGCCATCTGCTCTTTCCTTAAGTTCACAACGACTTTAAAGAGATTATATTGGGTTTAGAGGGGAAGATGGTAATAGTAGGGCAGTTTAGGGTCTAGGGCATTGCGTAAGTAGCGAGTTTAGGGCTCCCAAAACACTAACTACTACGCAGATGGGACCTTTGGGTCTCAAGTTTATCAATCGTGCTTAATTCTATACTGAACTTCGACCCCTAGCAAAAATCATAGTTTTAGCTGTGTCTTACGGGTTATAGGAGCCAAGAATTACAACTGATTTCTATTTAGACCTGAAAATTTGGCTTAGTTGGAGTCGGAAGGTTAAGCGATCAAAAGACACATGTTTCGGAGATCAAGGCTCTTGCAGGGTTTGGGATGTAATTTGGGCTTGTCAAGGTTCTAAGATTTAGTGTTGAAGGCTTGGTTCGGGCATTAGGGCTAAGCCCCCTGAGCCCCCTAAACTCTAACTAACCAATGGTTGTGGGGTTCCCTTGGCTCTTTAGCTCCTTCTTTAGTAGGGATTATCATCATAACTCGCTCCTTAGCTCCTCCAACACCGATGGCTAGCTAAATCCCAAACCCGATTGGGGTTTAACTACAAGGAACTCTGTTCATGAAAGCAAGCATCTGCAGCTGCGAGCAATTTCGAAGGTTCAGCTTCATGCTTCGCAGGCTTCTCAACGACCGGAGGGCATCTGCATAGCCTTGGCTAGGGTGTGATAGGATTGTACAACATAAAGTTCTGTCAGGGGGGTTTGGAGTCGAATTTCGGGGTTTCGAGGGGTCACACGACCTAAACACATAATTATTACACGTCGCTGTTATTATCTGTTATTATGCTAAATCAAAAGATGATTTCCCAGTAGCTCGCGATGCCGGGGCCAAGGATGTTGGTGCAGCCTCGGAGGTTCAACATAAAGGTCTCGAGGCTGGTTAACCAAGAGGAGACCGCTGTCATCAGCTGCTTGATGCCCTCGTCGCTCACACGAGTGTTGGCCATAACCAAGTTCAGGTATTGAAGCTGCTGTTGGCTTTGGAGTGCCTTTGCCATTCGATGTAAGCCAGAATCGCCGAGCTCAGTTTCGTAGACATTCACGTTCAAAGCCAGCAAGGGCGAAAGGGACTCAAGCGCATCGGAAAGTAAGGCCATGCCATTGTCACGAAACAGAGTCTTTCCGAAATCGAACTCCAAACGCCTGTTCGCCGATATTTCCCAATCCTGGAAGGATGTGGAAGTGGTAGTGGAACCTTTCTCATGCTTGACCAACTGACGAAAGGCAGCAGACGATTTCAACATCTCTGCAATCGCAGTGATGCCTTCATCAGCCAGCAGCGTTTCGGACAAGCCCAATCTCAGATCGCGGAGTGCAGGCAACGAGCCCAAGCACTTGCACAGTTGCACGATGCCCGCGTCTCCGAGAGCTGTGTTTTGGAAATCCAACTTCACCTTGCGAAGATTGCTGCAAGAACTCAGTGCCAGTGCGAGGTTCTTAGCTCCCTCGTTGCCCAAGCCAGTGTTCACAAAGCCCAGGACGAGCTCCTCCGAATCTGGATTGCTAGGCCGAAAGCTCAAACCCCAAGGTTAAACCTTAGGGGCCTTCATAATTGGCACAGAGTCTTGGGGCCCAGTAACCTGCAATCATAACAAGGAACCCGCAAAACCCTAGTCTAATTACTAAGCCCCTACATTAAGTTCGAAATCCTGAATGTGAAGCTCCTCAACTCCTCAACTTACTCTCCCACAAAGCCGAAACACCTCAACCCAAAGGCCCCTAAAGTAGTACACGACTCTAACTAAACGGACAACCCTGTCAAGTAAATATCCACAAAGGTCACTGTACCCATATAGTATATGATTTGGCGATACCCTAAGGCCAACATATATATATATATATATATGTTTATTTATTCAGTATATAGTATATACTTTAGGAATATCTTATGGACAAAGTATATCAACTATATGGATACATGGACCCTTAGGGTTTTACACTGCGGCCACCTCCAGGGTTGGAGGAAGCGCCTTGCCTAGCAGCATGGCAGTCGCATCGTCCATGCCCTTCCTGCCAGGGACGGTTTAGGGTTTCGAGTTCTTTCGGATCCTACCCGACTTGGAGGGGGAGGGGACTTAAGTAAGTCGTTTATCAGTAGGGTTGTAATTGGGGTAACTCCATTCAGGGTAGTTACTTATAACTCTACTTATGACCTACTTACTAAGTCCCCTGCCCTTCCAAGTAAGGGTCCATGTGCCCAAGAAGCATATACTTAGGCCCAGAAGTATCGAAATAAAAGCTTGAAGGCCAAAGTACGTACTACTTGGACACATGGACCTTTATACCCTAAACCCTTATGGTACCCTTATAGAACCCTTCAAAGGAACCCTTTAAAGGAACCCTTTAGGACCCTTACGGCTACCACTCCTAAAACCTGAAACCTCAAACCTTAAGAAATGTCCCAGAAGCAGGTTGGTGAACGCCATCTCAAGCCTTCGCGCTTTTCGGAGTCAGGGGTTTCGGGCTTCGGGTCGAGGTTGCTTTTTGTTGTTTTATAATTTTGGGCTTGAGGGGATTAGGGGATTAGGGCTTAGGGTTTAGGCTTTTGGGCTTTAAGTTCAAGGGTGTTTGAAGATTCAGGTTTAAGATTTAGAATCTCAGAGGTTTGGAGCTTAGGGTCTGTGGGGCTTTCGGGGTCAGACTCTAGGCAACCGTCATTCATCGCCCTAAACCCTGCTTCCGAAAACCTTTCAGCACGAAGCACACCTCATAAAGGGAATTCTGCTGAAACCTATCGCAAACGCCAACAAACAAAAAGCTAACACACCATGTACAACGTGCAAGCACCCCTTGCAACACACAAACACCTAAAACCTGCAGGTACCCCTGACACAAAACCTGCAAACGCACACACACACACACAGCACCTGCAGGAACCCCGTTGAACAAGTCTAAAACCCCACCAACCCGAACACCCTAAAACCCTAAAACCTAAACCCTCAAACCCTAATCCCCCAATAAACCCCACTAAACCCGACTAAACCCTAGTAAACCCTAGTATACCCTAATAAACCCTAATACCCGGATCCCCTCAACCTAAGTCCCGAAATGCCCTGAACAAATGCCTGAAACCCGGCCTCTTTAGGCTGATGTCGGCCTTCAAGGTCTCCGCCAAACCTAAGGAGTTCACCTGTTGGAACGGAATCGGGGTTTAGGGCTATTTAGGGTGTAATGGGTTTAGTGGGTGATGGGTTTAGGGTTTAATGGTTGAGGGTTTAAGGGTTTAGGGTTTGGGGTTCAGCAGCTCCGGGGCAGCATTACAATCAAGGTGTTGTTTACGGCAGTGATATAACACCCACCCAGCCCGAGGATCCCAAAATTTCAGGAAATAAAACTAAACCGAACGTGCTTAACCCTAAACCCTAAAACTTCCTAAGCCTCAAACCCACACAGGAGCTCTATAAACCCTTAACTCACTGGCCCAAAACCCAAGAAAATAAAAGTTGGAACTTTCAGAACCGACTACCTCATAAGAACCCCAAGAGTTGAAAAGTTGAGTTTACAGCCAACAAGTTAAAGGAAATCCTGACGCCGTAATCCCTAAACCCAGACAGGCACTCTACAAATTAAAACCCTTAGAGGAATAGGCCTCCTAGTCTCCATTGTAATTACCTTACAGCAATCAAGACGAGTCAAGGAGATTGAGTCATTCCTAAGGAAGGAAGAACCCAAGTATCATGATGATGAAGAAGAAGTATAGGATCGTACATGTGAAATTGGTTAAACCCCCAAAAAGGAACTACAACTACAATTGAGACTAGAGGTTACTTCTGGAACCGTCTGTCTCCAAACCCTAACCCTTAGACCCCTAAACCCCTACACCCTAAACCCCTAAACCCTCAACTCCTAAACCCCTAAACCCTAGACCCAAACCCCCAAAACCCGTGAGCAACTGGCCTGTCCGGCTTTCACTGCACAAGGCCACGCAGCGATGGCGAAAAGGCCCCGCAGTGCACAGTTGACGCGGTCGTACTCTGGATGTTCCTCTGCTTTAAGGGTTCCCTTCAGGGTACCATAAGGGTTTAGGGTATATGGGTCCATGTACCCAAAGAGTATGTTATACTTTGGCCCCATACTCTAAACATTCCCAAATCCTGAAAGGTTTTTTTTAGGGTCCTCTGCCCAGCCCTGAAAAGCCCAGACTCTTAACATCCGTGCCTATGGTCTGGTAATGCCATTATTGAACTTTTCTGGGTTGCCTTAAAGATCCTGAACATAAACCTGGTTTAACCAAAAAAGCTGCATTTGAGACTTTAGGTCGGTAGGTACATCCTTAAAGGCATTGGGTTTTAGAAGTTCCCCCGCTCCGCATCCCTGGCCCTTGACCCCTTCTGCACGGGACCCATGCACGCCTGTACCACTCGGTTTAAGCTCTAGGACCTGAGGGCTTAGGGCTACATACTTGTCCAGTCTCTTAGGGAACTAGAGGTTGAAACACTGGCGATGATATGGGAACTATAACCGTTATCAGAAAGGTAGCGCCTGCCCGACTACTAGGCTACTAGTTTTCGGCCACAACTTAATTACGGCTCAAACCGGATCTGAAATACTAAGGGTCCCTAGTACTTCGAATAAGGTTTTGAGGTATATGATACTATGATTATAATAAGGAATCCCCAAAATAGTATAGGTAATCATTTAAGCCCCTATATTAGCTGCAAGGCTCTCGAGGGGGTTCTCCTTCTGTACTCTCCTGCTTTGAGATCAAAGAGAGAATTCGATTTCGATCTGCCGGGACGGACGCCTCCGCTTTCTGCAGTTCGGCATGAAGGCCCTGCTTCAAGATCACCTGGGCTCTGATAGTATCGACAAATATGTGACTACCAGTGCCAAAATACATCATAGCCATCCTAGTAAGCCTTAGGGCTCCTAATATATAGGTACGTATATCTAACTATGCCCCCAACTATTCCAACCACCCAGGCCCCTATACCACAGCGCTCCAGATCCAAGGGACCAGAGGGAAGTGCTCCTCTCTCGACTGCTTTCTGCCATAGCCCTTCCCTGGCAGAAAGTTCTCCTCCTTGGATTCCTTACTTGTCCAGTTACCCACAAACTCTAGACCCTGAAGGGATTTTCCGAAAATACGAACCCTGAAATAGTACCCCAAATACTAGGATCCTGATCATAAAAAACCATATAAGGTACCCCTAATTTTCGGAAACTCCCAAACCCCAAATCAGGGAGATCAATCTCAAACTTCCCAAAACTTTGGGATTCGGGGGGGGGGGGTTGCAGAAGTCAACCCTACTAATTTCTCTTCTTCCACTAAGTTTCCTTGGCTGACTTCTGAACCCCTCCTAAAAGTTAAATTTTAGCTTCCATATTATAGATCATATAGAAACCCAAAAAGTTAAAGTCCTAAGACCCAACCAGAAGAACACCGAGTTTCGGCGTCGGTGAGTCCCTGCACCAGAAGTTGAGCGGCCTTGCCGTCCCAAGAGCAGATATCCAATGACAGCTTGGGAGAATACTCGGAAGTCAGAGCCACAAACTGCTCAAACACGCACCTGGGGGCGTGAGTCTATTTTTATGTCATAACAACCGCTACCAGTACCACTTATGCTTGCAAGTGTTCAACTTGTTCGATCAAAAAACCTTAGCAGTCTACTGCGGGGGACCAAGGCACCAGATCCTCGTGAAAGGCACGCCTGCTGGAATATTGCCAGGCCTGGGGCGGTTGAGTATCAGCAGAACACCCCTGCACTCCTCGCCCATCAGCGCACGGAAGAATGAGCTGGCTTTTGGGTCTGTGCCCAAAGCCGACCCAAGCTCATGTTGGTCGTTGGCATAAGCACAAACCCAATATGGCGCCTGGCTTGCTCAGCTTCCTTGAAACATGAGCCTCTGACACTCAAGGGTGCTATTTTGGAAACGGTTCAAAAGCTACCAAATTGAGCACCCCAGATGCATCCAAGCCCAGTGAATGAATAGTCGCATGCTGCTCCAAGCAGGCCACAAAGTCCAAGACGCCCTCCCCCCACCAATGGGATACGAAATACTTGGGCTTCCTGAGTTTGAAGGGTTCTTCAAGGGATTGTTGTAAGGATTCCTTTGAGGCATTTACTATTCTACCGAAACTTCCCGAGCTTGAGTCGCTTGCGGCTAAAGATTTCGCGATAAAGGATTCAGGGATTTAGGGTGCAGAAATTGTCTGTAGCCCCCACTTGCAAATGCTGCTTACCTCTATATTAACTTATACATGTATATATATATATATATATATGTTATATATATATATATATATATATATATATACCTGTGTATATGTCATATGCTAAGACCTGCCGTGATGTGGTTGTGGTTAATTCTGTCAGCATAAACAAGACTAACAAGACCTGGTCTCTGTGGCTTCTTGGTCAGAAGCTCGACGTAGCTGCAATGCCGTACCTCGTCGTTCCAGAGCAAGGCATCTGCAGAACCCACCACTTTGCCAGCGATGGTGATCGGATAGCCTAGGTTGGCCCTGTAAATATAGGGGCCTTAAAATTAGAATAAGGTTTTGGGGCCATTATACTATAATTTTCATAAGGAACCCCCAAAATAGTATTGGTAATTGTTAAGGCCCCTTATAGTAAAGCCTCTGAAATCGGTTCGCGTCTAAGACCTCCTGGATCCAATAAAAGAACCCTGTCTTGCGCATATGGCATCGTAAGGCTCCAAAGCCTTAGAGTAAGTGTCAAGATGGACGGATGCATGCATGAAAACATGCTATGGAGTCCGCAGAGGATCCCTATCATGGAACCCTTAAAGGGACCCTTAAGGGGTAAATCTCAGATGTCCTAGCGAGCAACTCACTTCGAATTGGCCCCTGTCCACCAAAATCCTCACCTCTTCGTCTGCAACGGAGGAGATGCGGCCTTTTGCACGGGTGTCCTCTTGAAGGCAGACATCGCCACTGCTGCATTCAGATGCCGTCAGTCCTACAGTGAGGATGCCCGTCGGCACGGTGGATGGTGAGAGCCTGTAGTAGTTGAAGTCGTAGAGGGTAACATCCTCTGGAGTTAAGGGTGTCTGCCAGTCTCGGACGGAGTTCCAGTTGTCCGAACACCACTTGATGGACGTAACCACGCCACAGTCCTTGCCGGAGATGTGAACGCTGTGGCCTTCTTGGAAGACTCCCTTTTCTACTTTGACGTGGACCTCAGGGTACCCTATTCAGGGGTCGTTGTTATACGGAACGTAGAATCTTAACTTCTGTATTGGGGTACCCTTTCTTCTCAAACCCCGCTGCCTTAACCTACCAGAACCAGCTTTCTTGTAGGATCCCGATAAATTCCATATTAGGGTGTATAATAAGAAGAACCTACAAAAAAGTAGGATCTGGTGCTTGCTATACCCCCCCATAGAACCAGAATAAACACAGTATTGTCTTGTAGTATATTCTTTGGGGCTTTATATGAACAAAACCCCAAAACCGTACGGAGACTGACTGCAGCTGGAACCCCAAGGGTCCAGGTACCTACTAATCATATACTCTCCCAAATCCTAACCTACATAACTACTATCCTAAAACCGAGTACCTGATTATTGGGTCCTTTGGACCCTTGGGGGAAGGTAGGGGCCTCCTTTTCGGTGCTGTCGGAGGCCGGTACAAAGGCGCCGATGGCACCCGTAGCCTCCTGGCTGACCCGGGCTCGGTTGTGAAACCGACTTTGGCTCAAGCCTCTGGCGCCAACGTTGCGGTTTTGGTTTAGGGCTCAGGGTTTATATGCCAGTGGGGGGTTTAGAGGTTCATACGTTTTAAGGTTTTGGGGTTTAAGGATTAAGGCCTTTGGGGCTTAGGGGAAAAGTGGTTTACACGTTGGCACGTTTAGATGAGGCCTTCCATGGCAATGTGCGCAGGGCAGCGTCTGATGATGTCCTTCCGAACTCCCTGCAGCTGCCTGACTGTTATTGCCCTCCATTCCTCGGGAATTCTCTCCAGGCAGTCTTTCCTCTTGTCTCCTCGGCTGGGACCCTGGCAACAAGGATCTTTTTATGGGCTGCGCTTATTGAAATATTGGGAACCACCAAAAGCAAAACAGGATGCCTTAGATTGGCCAAGTGTGCCAGTTGCCATCTTTTCTTGGCTCACCAAACGCAGCTGAAAGCAAATGGAGACATGTGCATGGGCTTGGGGGAATTTAAGGATCGCTGCTTTATGTAGAGTCTGGTGCATGAGACCAAGGGGTTGGGGCGTTAGATAAAGTTCGGCTGCACGCTGTTTCTTGTAGGGGTGCAATGCAGCTGCAGCCGCAAACAGAGACCCCTGTCGCAAAAGAACTCTAGCACGCCCAGCAACAGATAGTACTGCATCTTAGTTCCGCAACAAACCGATCCCCAAGCGGAACCCTACATTACCCACCAGGACGCCCTCCAAATAAATGCATAAGGGTTCTTTGTGGCCGGGGAGTAGCCTAGAGCGCCACAGCGACAGCCGTTGCAGCATCGCGGTTGCCCAAGCAGACGAAAGTTTCCCCGAAACCCCATAAACCCTGAGACCCAAACCCTACAGTCCCTAAACCCTAAACCCTGAACCCTAAACCCTACAAGCCATAAGACCTAAACCTTAACTCTATACACCCTAAGACCTAGACCTAAACCCTAAACCCTAGAAGCCATAAGACCTAAACCTGAACTTCTTGGCCCAGGGCCCACTGCCGAATGTCGAACTTGTAGCCGTGGATGAGCTGCGGCCTGGACAAAGCATTTTGGGCGCTAACGTGGCTTTAGGGACTCTATAGCCCTAAGGGTCCAAGTATATATAATAATCATATACTCTCTTAAATATTGAGCTACATAACTACTATCCTAAACCCAAGTACCCGATTATTGGGTCCTTTGGACCCTTAGGGTAGGGTTTAGGGTTTAGGGGCTTTAGGGTCTTTAGGGACTTTAGGGTCTTTGGGGTTTATGAGGGTTTAGGGTTTAGGGACTTTAGGGTCAAGGGTTTAGGGGTGTAGGGTTTAAGGACTTTAGGGTTCAGGGGTTTAGGGACTTCGGGGTGCAGAGGTTAAGGGTTTCGGGGTTTAGGGTGTAGGGTGTTTCGGTTTTAGGGACTTTAGGGTTTCGGGGTTCAGAAATCTTATCGGCAATATATCCCACAAGACTTTGGACCCCTCTAGAAACAGATAGGCTAGAACAGTGCGCCTTGGTTTAAGTTTTCCGACAGCAGTGCATATCAGGTGCATTCTGGTTCCAATGAGGCTTGCTTGCCAAAGGTTTGGGCATGGGGTTTCTGGAGCTCTGGGCTTTTAGAATTGTGAGGCTTTATAAACTTTTAGGGTTAAGGGTTTAGGGTTTATAGTTTAGTGGTATTTCCAAAGGCCTACGGACGCCGAAATGCCTCACACTGTGCGACCTCGCCCGTGTTTCTATTTGCGCAGCCTGGTGGTGGAATATGATTGGAGGTGTAATTCAGGGGTGAGGTCAACAAATGTGGGGGGAAGGGGCTCTCAGGCTCTGAGTTTCAGGAAGTGAGGATGGATCGAAACCCGAAGCCCTAAATCCCTTAAACCCACTAAACCCTCTAAACCCTATAAGCCCCAACAACAAAAACCAACGCACCAGAAAGCCCAAAATCTAGTTTTTGGGCAAGACAAATCCTACAAACCCTACAACCCTCTAAACCCTCTACTCTAAACCCTCTAAACCCTCCAAACCCTGAACCCTAAACCCCAAACCAGAAACTCGGACTGGCCAGATCCACCTTTCGATGTACTTCTGGCAGACCCACTGGAAGCCATCGCTGGCACAGTACCGGAAGATCTCGTCGAGCTCACGCATTACCTGCGAGAAGAGTTTGGGGTTGTGGGCTTAGGGTTTAGGGCTGTGCCGGAAGATCTCCTCTAGCTCACGCATTACCTGCAATTAAAATTTCTGGCTTCGCAAAACAATCCATGAAGCCCACAATAGCCCCAAGCCTATGGGTACTAGTGTACCTTGCTTAGGGGATTTGGTACCGCAGCACGTCCCCAAATCCTATCTATCTGTCTATCTATCTATCTAATCTCTCTATCATCCGGCTAACAACTTCTTGGTATATCTATACTATGGCTTTTGTCAACCAAGCCATTCACGCTGCACGGGGACCCTAAAGCCGCGGTTTTCAGCCTCTAAGCTCCATGCCTTGGAGCCCACATTGCAGACTCACCAGGGGGCCCAAAGTTCTGCTCTTTGAAGAACCAGGAGCCCCCAATGGCCCTTTAATAGAGTCCTTATGGTCCGTAATGGTGGAGTAGTTGGGGTATATTAGAGGGTAGTTGGGGGGTCTAGGAATCTACTTCGGCTCATCATTATGGGGCTGTAAAGTAAATGAGACGGTTTAACATGCTAGTACAGGAACCTGATGAAGAAACCCCGGGTCTTGATTAGCGTCTTTCATTTGAATCCTCGTACTTTGGTGTTGTAGGGCCAGGGTTTCTTAATTAGGTTCCTACATCAACTTGAACTGGGTAATTCTTTTTCAATACCCTTTAGTTTCCCAAGCTTCCAGACGTCTCTGCCCCTCTGAACCTGATGCAGGATCGATTTTGGACTACCTAGAATAACCCAGGTACCTTAAACCTTAAAAACGGAAACATACCTTCTGCTAGGGTCACATCTCCTTGTTTATTTAAAGGTCCATGGGTTACTCTAGGGAGAGCTTGTGGGTGAAGGGTTCGAGAAACTACCCTAAGGGTCCAGGTATCTTAGGAGGGTCCGGAATCTCCTAGGGAGAGGCCTTCGGTCTGGTTGGGGTCTCAGAAATCCTACATTTTGAGGTTCCCTAAAGTGTTAGGACCCTTAGGGTCGTGTTTAGCTGCACTCTTCACATTGTGTAGCCCGGTTGGAACGATTCGTGTGAAGCAGCAGCGGGCACCTTGATCCCTCTTCCGCGGGACTTCCCAGACGGCTTCACGATCCATGCGTTGCGGCAGCCGTTGATGGCAAACTGCCTGTGCAAAGCGGATTTAAAGATTAGAAGATTTATCAGGCTTACAGGGTTTTGGGTTCAGCGGGGTTCTGAGAATCTTGCTGGTAAAGGGACAGAGCTCCAACTCCTTAAAAACTAAACCCTGGATGCTGAACCCTAAATCCTAAATCCCGAACCCTAAATCCTAAACCCAAGTCCCTAAATCCAAAAGGCTTCTGTGCTCGAAGGAACTGAAGCCTCCGGGTCATGTCGGGGAGTACCTATAATCTCCATTGTAGTTTTTCTGTGGCTTATCCAACTCCATACCTAGGATCCTATAAGGTAACCGAAAAAGGAACTACAATGGAGACTATAGGTACGTAGAAGATCTTGCAAGAGCATACATGCTTGAAGCTTGGAATATTGAGCTCAAAGAAGTCGTTGCGGGTCAGGCGGTTGAAGCAGTCAAGCCCCGCAAGCCGGTTTAGGGTTTAGGGTTTCTACCATCCTGACTCTCCAGGGCAGCTGAGGAATCGAGATCTCACCACCCAGGAGACAGAACTAGGGCATATGCTGCCTCTTTATAGGCGTACAGGCAGTGGCAACGAAGCCTTTCACGACGATTCCTCCAGAATCCAAAGCCTGAAACCTGACGATGTAGCAATGTAGATGTATGGGATCTTATGCGAGCGGCAGCGAATGTGTCTGGAATTTCGATCGTAGCTGCTGTCTTACCTTCATACTTTGCAAAACCTTATCAAACTCTACCTATAGTCTCCATTGTAGTTCCTTTTTTGGTTAACCAAAATCTCTATTATAGGGTCCTAACCATAAAACTGGTTAACCAAAAAAAGCAACTACAATGGAGACTATAGGTAGGGTGGTCAACCATAGAAGCGGAGCAATGGGTCTAGCTCAGGCTCGTTCTTTACAGCGACTGTTCAGAGGCTTCGGGGCCGGCTCCCTGTAGTCAGTGACTTGAGACTATAACACTAACGCGCTTACATAGGGTCCATGTACCCAATAAATACTACATGCTTTGGCCTTAAAGTAGTTTCTATATAGATACCTTGGGGCCAAAGTATATACTGTTTGGGTACATGGACCATTAGGAGAGTCTAGCTGCTCAAAGTTGGCAGTCGTTGTACAAACATCGAAAGCGATTCAGCAGCGGTGCGCACCAACATGACTTGAACATGTGTCCCCAAGGCTATGCGTTACCATAACTTATGGCGGGGGTTGTGTTGAGCCGTGGCTGAAGCTAAACTCAAGCCGCGAGCTTTTTTTAGAGAACCTGATAGCTGCCACCCCTCAAGTCCTCAAATAATTAAGCCCACTGTTGAGAGTAGATTATGTGCCCTAAACCCCGCAAACCAAATCCAAACCCATTGTTCAACGAGAGCCTGCTGGTGGCATCCATCTCATCCAGCACCTGGCACGAACGCAAGGCCATGGCTTATGTGCTGGAGTCTGCAATGATGTCTTGAGTCCTGCAACTCTTATTGCAAACTGCTGCAGGAGCCTCACTAATGAGAAAAGTGTATTGGGATGCAGTATACTACGATTGCAATAAGGAGCCCTTTCGGTGTCGAAAAGCATTCATACGTACTCAGGCCCCTCTCCCTAAGGCTCCATGTACCCATATAGTCTATACTTAGGCCTTAAAGTACCTGAAAAGGGACCCCTTTAAGGCCAAAGTACCTACCATAAAGGTACATGGAGCCTTTGGGTATGCTGCTTTGGGATGCAGACCTACGGTTCTAAGACTCGACCCTCGGCTGCAAGCTCCGAAGCTTGTAACCTGCCCCAGATGTGGATAGTCCTCTAAACCTGGGCCCCGAAAGTATGTAGAATAATGGCCCTTTTTATAGGTGTTGGGCAATTATTTTGCTTACTTCTGAGGGTTTAGGAATTGAGGTTCCTTTTCACAAAGGTACAGTACTATGTTTAGGATCCAGAAAGGGGCCCTAATTCAGAGAAGATATGGCCACTTCGAACCTGCCCCATCTCCTTCCACCTCTTAAAACGGACCCGCCGCCACTCCACCGCCCCCGTCCCCAGAAAAAAAACACTCGGAAGCTGTGAGCCTGCAATTTCTCTTCCTCGCCTGGACCCCGAAAGTATGTAGAAATACTAGCCGATGAAAAACGGTGTTGGACTGCGATTTTATCTACTTCTGGTGGTTT